CAGTGGCTAAAATGATGATGATATTGCTCATTAAAGAAAGATTAATTGAAGTAGGTTGCTCTTGCTTGATCTTGGGTTTGTGAAGTTAAAGAGAAACAGTGATCTATGTAAATCTTTGTCTTCTCACCTTTCATAACTTTATATCAGGTTCCCCAATCTTTGCCATCCAGTTGTCATTCATTTTAGTTATAATAATAATAATAATTATTATTATTATTATTATTCACCATTAGTCAATTGCAAAAGGCGGCCTTACTGCGAATTGCTTCCATTCTGCGACGATATCTGTAATACCATCAAACATTCACATCTGCCTATCCCTTGGGAAGGACTCGATAGGTAGACAAAAATGCCAAATCCAGTCTGAACATCTGGCTGACTGTGCGATGAATAATAGTAGTAGTAGTAGTAGTAGTAGTAGTAGTAGTAGTAGTAGTAGTAGTAGTAGTAGTAGTAATATAATAATAATAATAGAGTTGGAAGGGACCATTGAGGTCTTCTAGTCCAACCCCCTGCTCAGGCAGGAAACCCTATACCATTTCAGACAAATGGCTGTTCAGTCTCTTTTTAAAAACTTCCAGTGTTGGAGCATTCACTGCTTCTGGAGGAAGGTTGTTCCACTGGTTAATTGTTCTAACTGTCAGGAAATTTTTCCTTAGTTCCAGGTTGCTTCTCTCTTTGGTTAGTTCCCATCCGTTGCTTCTTGTCCTGCCTTCAGGTGCTTTGGAGAATAGCTTGACTCCCTCTTCTTTGTGGCAACCCCTGAGATATTGGAACACTGCTATCATGTCCCCCCTCGTCCTTCTCTTCGTTAAACTAGACATACCCAATTCTAGCAACCATTCCTTATATGTTTTAGCCTCCAGTCCCCTAATCATCTTTGTTGCTCTTCTCTGTACTCAATATACCCAACACTTTACAAGGTCATAGTCTTAGAATTGGTTGCTTAAAAGCTATGCTTGGGGAAGCTAATCAAATTGCCCTGAGTTCTATAATCTGCATCTTAATATCCAGTATTTGTGTCCTGCATGGTCTCCAGATACCTTGTTTGTTTTTCTTTGCAGCGGAAAGGCAACTCTTAATGTTGATGCTTACTTAACCTCAGCCTCAAAGGATATTTAAAGAGAACTTTGAAACACTTTGGACTGGACCGCTTTTAACATTGTAAAATTCAACATTGCTTTTGGAAGTTTTAGTACTCTTGTATTTGGACTTCTGTATATTACCTTGAGAAAGGATGGCTGAATATGTAGGCTGCTGTTATAGTAGAATTGCATAGCCATTTTTGAATGATACAAATTGATTAAAAGCTTGGGAAGCTCACATTCTTTAAACAGACTGCAACCGGCCACAGCAGAGAGGTAAAACATAGTGAAGGTGATTACATGCTGTGAAAAATAGAGGATTTTAACAGGGGATGCAAATCGATTATCTCTTCACTTTCTCTAGTACACAGAAAGGTTTTTAAATTTAAAATAGGAATAAACTAGCATGCATTGGAGGATATTTCTTGATCTTTATGCTTGAAAAGTGTTAATGGGACAGTTCACAGAGTTCACTAGTAGTAAGCACTAATTAGAATTGGATAGGATGAATTTTGTGCATAATTCTTCTGAGAAAGATTGTTGAATTAAAGCAGTGTTTCTCAACCTTGGCAATGTTAAGGCATGTGGACTTCAACTCCCAGAATTCCACAGCCAGCCATGAAGTCCACATGCTTTAACATTGTCAAGGTTGAGAAACACTGAATTAAAGGATGGTACTTCATTAAGGTATTTGTCTGAATTTGCTGAAGAAGTTAGTAGTAACCTTTTCAACTGTGTAATTGCATAAATAATGCAGTAACTAACATACTGTGATTATCTTTTTGCATTATCTCCAGTGACATATTAATAACTTCTAATAAGCAGCTAGTACTTGATTTAATTTTCTTGGCTCCAAATAAAGCTAGAATTTTGGGAGCTGGAATTTAATCTCTCCTTCTGAGGGAGATTTATAAAATCTTGCCCCCCCCCATGCTCATTTTGGTCTTTCCATTAATCCGTTGGCCTTGACAGTATTTTGCAAAGCAAACAGATGTAAATTTTATAACATTAAAGAAGAGATTATGAGTTAAGAGATTTAGAAGAGCACAGATGGCCTTTATGCCTGGGGACTCCCAAGGTGAGCTTGCAGTACTTTGTAAGTACTACATTCTGTTCTGTACAGAATGCAGCTTCTGGAGATAGTCACTTATAGTTTAATTAATCTTCTCTTCAAGAGTAGTGAAAGCATTCTATTTCATTTATAGCAATTTGATTATATGTAATTTCAAGGAACATTAATCTCTTCTGCCTTATTCCCAGAAATAAATGCTACTCTAATTTTTCTACTTACAGAGCGATTACAGTACAGCATTAGTTTCATTCACAAATAAAATATTTTTAAGTACAGGTAATCTTTAACTTACAACAGTGCATTTAGTGACTGTTCAAAGTTACAACAGCACTGGAAAAAGTCACTTATGACCATTTTTTCACACTTACGACCATTGAAGCACCCCCCCCAGGGTCACATGATCAAAACTCAGCTATTTGGCAACTGACTCATATTCATGATGGTTGCAGTGTCTTGGGGTCATGTGATCACCTTTTGCAACCTTCTGGCAAGCATAGTCAATGGGGAAGTCAGATTCACTTAACAACCATGTTACTAACTTAACTGCAGCGATTCACTTAACAACGGTCACAAGAAAAGTTGTAAAATGGAACAAAATTCACTTAACAAATGTCTCACTTAGCAACAGAAATGTTGGGCTCAGTTGTGGTAATAAGTTGAGGACTACCTATACTTGAAGTAATGAATACGCATCCTTCACATTTTTCATGAGGGTGCATGAATATAAAAATCCACCTCTATTGGTTTCTACACTGTAAAACTAATGAGCATGTATTTCTCTATTTGCATGTGTCAAACAAAATTATGACCTTAGAGGACATCAAATGCAATATCAGAAAAATAATTTTGCTAGTACATGATTCTTCAACAAGGATGCACAATCCAGAGCATTTTGGAAGTGATTTTACAATTGTCATCTGTCTTGACTTTCATAGTGTTGTTGATTTTAGTTCTTAGCTTTTTTATGGTTAATATTTGTAAAGTTATCAGCATTGTTAATAAAATATTAATATTTGGGATGGTTCAAGTTGTGCCATTAGGATGCATATTATATAACACATCTTACTTGATCTTTTAATTTATGATGAGATTTTATTCCAAGACAAGACATTGCATCAAATCACTTGCTTCACAAGCATATTCTGACATATGCCCAAAGGCTATATCTGATATTCAGTTTGATAACTTGTGCATCGAAATGCAGAACATGGGACATGACAAAAAGGAATGATAATTTCTACAAATTTCTGGCTAAACATTTTTTTTATTACTATAGAATTTGTTTTCTGAGGCAAACTTTCCTCCTAATCTATTAATTTGGACTTCCCTGACTTCCTGCACGATTACAACTGTAAATTCAGACATTGTGGGGAAGACGGAACTTTACTCTTAGCTGGGGTGGGCAATAATTTTTCCAAGGAGCCACATGAGAAACTGGGTCTATTGTGGAGGGCAGCGCCAAAAACTTCTGGCTGTGCTCCGCCCACTCACTCTCAAAGCCGCCCTTTGACTGAGGAGGTGGATGGCCAAACTGCAATTCCTTTACTGAAGGACCATTGCCACTGCCCCAGCAAGGAGTGAGCCCTCCCCTTGCTCTCTCGTTGCCAGCTGATTGAAGGAGTGGCCAGTGACTGGACTTGGCCTCGGCTTCTTCTCCCACCCCCTGCGGTGTGCTTTTTTTACATATAGTTTCCAACTGATGTCACATGGACTGGACAGGGACAGCCAAAGGGCTGGATGGGCCCGGGGACTATAAAATGCTCAGGTCTGCTCATAGCTGAGATTCATGGATTTCCTGGATGCGAACAAGCCAGCAATTATAAAATGCAATTAATATTGCATTACTCTATACTTTCAGCTTTTATTTTTTTTATTGTAATTTTTTGGTTTTTATTTTTTAGTTGGATTCTTATTTTATAACCTGCTTTCAAAAGTCTGAAGGGAAAGAATATGTCTAATTTGATTTATCAGTAGTTTCTTCAAGGTCTAAGAGGGGATATTGTTTTCCACTATAAAGTATCAAACCATTATTTGATTTTGTTCAGGTTTATTTTCATCAATCCTCATAATATCCCACCTAAGTCTGTAATGAGAATACCCAATCTGCATTCAGATAGTCTTTGAATTATGACCATTTGTTTAGCAACCATTTGAAGTTGCAGTGGCCCTGAAAAAAATGATTTGCAACTTACAATTGGTCCTTTCACTAATGACTATCATAATGTCTCCATGATCACGTGATCATGATTCAGGCAGGTGGCCATTGGCATGTATTTACATTGGTTGTTGTTTCCCAGGGATGTGATTACAACCTTCCCAGCTGGCTTCTGAGGAACTCAAAGAGAGAGGAAGTTGGCAGGGAAGGTCCTAAATCACCATCACATGATGTCTCACTTAACAACTATAGAAAAATGTTGTAAAATTGGGGACAGTCACGTGATGCTTCACTTTAATGACCTCATTGCTGAAAGATGAATTTTCTAGTCCCGCCTGTGGTCATAAGTTGAGAACTACCTGTATCGATGTTTTTATTTTAGTATATCATTATAATTCTTTGGAAACCATAGCCCTACTTAGACATTTGCTTGCACCTGGATTAAAAAAGACATAGATTTCTAGGGTTTGGCTGCTTCCTTTATAACTTATATTACAAATTTAAAGTATGAAATACAAGCTTATTTTCTGCCAACATTCTGTTTGTTTTACTCCGAGCTTTCCTTATTAAGTTTGGCTTTAAAAATATTACTCTATTATAACTGTAAAAATGTTCCTTCTGCTTGAAGCACTTTTTCTTGGAAAGAGTCCCTTTTTTCAATTGATGTTGTTTTTCTCCTTATAAATAGGGCCCAGTCATGGAAGAGCTGATATGGGAACAGTACACAGTGACCTTACAAAAGGTAGTATGTTATTTATTTATAATTTTATAATAGCTTTTTTGCACTGAATATCTCCTATCAATTGACAAACCAGATACGTCCCAATTTTAATGACAGTTGCTTTTCAATAATAACATATTTTAACCTCGATAAGTATACTGCGTAAACATTTTTAAACAAAACCCTTGTTTATTTACACAAATAATTTCCTTTGCAACTATAGCAATTCATTTTTCTAGAGCTACTAAAAATACCTAGAATTCAACAAAATAACAGCAATCTTTTTTTAAAGGTTCAGTTCTCTATAGCCCAAGGTAGTAGCGCAGTTTAAAATGTCACTAAACCTCTGGGCTTTTCCAGCACTCAGTTCTGATTATCAGGAAGACATTACATTCTTTGGAGCATATAGGAGTCCAGTGTCCAAGACTGCAACTTTTTGTAAAGGCTACTGTTCCCCAAAGTCATCAAAGTTGCCTTCCTTTGCTACAAAAGGACAACAGTCCCAGTCACGCAATGCTTTTACCACAACAGTGATAGTACGAAAAGAGCAGTTTGGTGTAACGTTAAGGCATCAGGAGATGTGTGTTCTAGTCCCACTTTAGGCATGAAGCCAGCTGGATGAACTTGGGCCAGCCATTCTTTCAGCCCTAGGAAAAAGGCCATGGTAAAGCACTTGCCAAGAAAACTGTAGGAACTAGTCCAGACATTTGCCAAGAATCAAGAGTGACTTAAAGGCACAAATTAAAATTAAAAAATGGTGATGAGCAGCCCTTTCCTCTTATAAATTACACTGTGACAGAAGCACTTGGCTTTTGTGTATACAGCTGCTGTCTTTTTTATTGAGCAGCAACATATGGACAGGCCTCTAGCATGCAAATAAACCTGTTTGCTCAAACCATGTTTTTTGTCATTGATTTCACAATAAGGCTTATGGAAGGGAGGGGCTGCTCAGAGGCCTTGAAACTGAACTGTGCACGGATTATCCAAGAAACGCCAAGCAATTATTCACTCCTTTGCCGTGATCAATACAGAATACTGAAACAATTTTATTTCCATCTATTAGTTCTACTGTCTAAAATGGAAAGTTTCGATCTGATCATTTCTTAAAGAGAATGGTGGAATGGGCCCTGATTTAACTTCCAAAACTTAAGGGTTTAAAAAATAATTACACCCAACAAATGAGAATATAGTTTTTCTCTAACTGATACCAATGTAAGATGGTCCCATGCAAAGTTGTAAGAAGGGACTTTCTAACACAGTGGTTCTCAACCTTTTTATACGGCGACCCCGGTATTAAGCAGGCGGCGCGCATGCGCGGGGCCGCCCCATGCACGGTGCGCATGCACGGCAGCGCCCCCATGCGCCGCCCCAGAAAAAAAATGGCAGATCGTGTTGTTTGGCGACCCCCGTGAAATGGTCGTTCGACCCCAAATGGGGTCGCGACCCACAGGTTGAGAACCCTTGTTCTAACACATTTACTTATGCAGAGGCTTGGGAAGGCTGAAACAAATACAGGTTTACAACTTCAATTAATTTTCTAAACTAGAAGTGACTGTTTCATCTTACTTTTACTGCTACCACTATACTTAAATTCAAATGTGGCATAATACAAATGGCCTACATCACCTTATTCTTCTTTTTTCCAGTCATTCCAGCACCTTGCTTCTGTTTCCTTTTACATGTTTGAATTCAAGCTCACTGTTTTATTATTTACTTATGTACATCCTACATTCATTATTTTAACAAATAATTCAAGGCGGTGAACATAACTAATACTCCTCCCTCCTATTTCCCTCACAACAACAACTCTGTGAAGTGGGTTGGGCTAAGAGTGACTGGCCCAAAGCCACCCAGCTGGCTTTCATGGCTTAGGTGAGACCAGAACTCATGGTCTCCTGGCTTCTAGTCTGATGCCTTAACCATTAGACCAGGGGTCTTCAAACCTGGCCCTTTTATGACTTGTGGACTTCAACTCCCAGATTCCTCAGCCAGTGTGCCTGGCTGAGGAATTCTGGGAGTTGAAGTCCACAAGTCATAAAAGGGCCAAGTTTGAAGACTCCTGCATTAGACCAAACTGCCATACTCCCATCAGCCCACTTGCTCCTTGTCCTAGGGCCTGCCTTCCCCTTTTTGTGCCTTCATTGCCACTAACTTTGCCTTTTCACTGCTATCTCCTACCTCAGATCTCCCAGGCTTAAAATATGCCAGTTTCAGGCATATTCAGGTTTATTTAGTTCCAGGTTTATGCTGAGATACACAGGAATGGTTAAAATCCAATGGAACATTCATGTTTTGCTCTTGGCCTGAATCTGGCTGTCCAATCGGAATATTGTGCGTATTTTACTTCACAGAATTAAAAAGCACTGAACTGTATAAAACTTTATTAATAAATGTAACTCTAATGGTATTACTAGTTAATAAGGGTTTACAAGGCTCCAGATGTGCCTATCTGGGCATTGTAGTTAATAGTTTATACTTTACAGAAGTTTTTCAAGCCATCCTGCATCAAATCATGTATCTTCTTTAACCCGCCTTGCTTCTATGATTGCTTACCATTTATACAATAGTTTCACAATGTTTTGAAAATCTGTAAAATACCAGCTACAGACACAGAGGCTGAGAAAGAGTGACAGGCTATATTTATCTTCTGAATTTGTGGCAGATGGCTTCTCAATTTGTAGCTCAGTGACTTAAATTACTGCAGCCCTCTTCTGTCCCTGTAGTTCTAAATCATTCGTAAATCAAGACTGTGTAATGTGCTCATGTACACAGTGTAAGAAATATTTTTTCATTTGTCATTCAATTCCCTGGTCTGTAGGGAAATTCTTTTTTTTTTTCAGGCCAAGCCTAAAATGTAATTGCAAAATTTTAACTAAAGACAATTTAAAAACACCATATAACTACCGTATTTTTCTGGGTATAAGACGCTATTTTTTCCTGCAAACACCCTGTTCAAAAATCAGATGCGTCTTATACAAGTGCAGCGGGTTATACACAGAAAAATAATGGTAACCTCCACAACCCAGGGCATGCCTGTGTGGGTTCTTTACATGCCGCTTCCATGCCACCTGGTGCAAGTGCTTGCCACTAACGGGAGGGGGGAAGGGGCAAGATCATCGGATGGCGGCATCCGGAGGCAGTGGATGGGACCAGTGGAATGGATGGCAGCGACAGCGCTTTCCCTCCCTCATACCTGTATGCTGGCCGGGGACCCTGTGGAACACAGCTGCGAGGCCGTCCTGCTCGATAATAGCAGCTGGCCCAACTTCCAGATTTGCCGGCGCTGAACAGCTGATCGGCACGGAGAAACAGTGGGGAATTTAAAACCTGCTTTTGCTTTCCTTGCCTTGCTGTCATGCCGGTGCTCACACCAGTTTCTTTACCGGGGTCAGAAGGCTGCTGCTGTGAACTGACTATGCATGCTCATCATGCTGGATGCTGGTTAGGTGGGTAGGGAGTGGGGCAGGCCAGGAGGCGTCTATTTAGAGCGCTGGGAGGCGGTTGCTCCCAGCGCTGACTTTGTTTGCTATAAGCGTGGAACTCGCATGCCAGAGCGTCTTATACAAGGGTGCATCTTATACACGGAAAAATACGGTATCTCCAAACTCCAAAGAGCATTAACTTAAGCATATTGCAATGCACTCCCCACAGCACTCTTAGAGGGCTGATATAAAAACATACCCATATGAATTGAAACTGTCCTCCCTGTGGCTAAGGGGCTATTGAAACTAGAGTTCATGTCCTACTATACCAGTGTTTCTCAACCTTGACAATTTTAAGGCATGTGGACTTCAACTCCCAGAATTCCACAGCCAGCATTGCTGGCTGTGGAATTCTGGGAATTGAAGTCCACATGCCTTAAAATTGTCAAGGTTGAGAAACACTGTACTATACTATACCTTCTATAAGGATTTCTGAACCTATCTTAATACCTCACCTGATAAAATACCCAGGAAACACCTATCTCTTTTATGTACCATTGCTGTTATCGGATCAGTCTGATCTAGTTTGTTTGAATGTAGCTAAATTTTATTTTTCTGTCTGCAAATTTAGGCAGACTTTGACTGCCCACTGACACTCCACCACCAATTGTTAAATATCTTGTCTTTTTTATTTTATTTCATTTTATTTTTTTAATGCTCCTTATTTGTAATGCTGATCTATGATACTACTATTACTACAATTTTAAAAGTACCCATTTCAGAATGATTACAGGTCTTAACGGTGTTTGCCACCTGCTCTTCCAAATAAGAAATTAGGTTTTATCAAGTAACACCATGATGAAAACACATCAGTGGAAACTAGGAATAGCAAGAACATTGTACCCATTGAGGATATTGCATTCAGTGTAAAATAGCATTTAAAGTGATAAACTACATGGAAAGGAAACCAAGAAAGGCATGTTAAGCATTCAGAAAGCAATAGAAAAAGACCAAGAAGAAGAAAGAAGCAATCACAGAATAAATGGCATTCAGAGAAAAAATAGAATTTCATCAGTTTTGAGGGAAGACTTGTGACTGATCTCTGGGGATTAGTGATGAGACAGTCAGTAGAATGCAGTTTTTAGAAAAGGGAAAAGACACTCTCTGCAATGTAGAAATAGAGATTTTGAGGTAAACACCTTAGCTCTGGGAATCAAATTCAGCAGGAGAAAGAGGGGAAAAAGACAAGGATGCTGAAAAGCAAGCATGTAGGTGAAAAACTGATGCAGTGTGGTGGGGAGGAAAAGAGACAAGATAGAAAAAGAGTGGCTGGAGAAGAAAATATGATTGGGAAAGATGGATGAAAGTGCATCTTGTTCTACATCATCCTGGTTCTTGAGGATTTATGGTACATGGAGCATTCAGAAATTAATGGAAGGAACGTAAGAGCAAAGTGGAAGGAAAGTAGAAGACTCAAAGCTTTTTGGCCAATCTTTGGGTTATCAGCAGTTTTCCTTGGGTTTCTGAAAACACCACTGAAGTAATGGAGGGAAAGACTGAAAGATGAGTCTCTTTCCTTCTCTCTCTGGCTGGTCACAAATTCAGGGATTCTGTACTGTGCTACCTGAGGTGGGTTATTCAGATGAGATTCGTAATCCAGTCAAATTTGTGGCAGGAAGTCTACAGTATTGCTCCATCTCCCTGTACTTCAGGTTTTATCACAGTAGGTAGCATTGATATTAAACCCAAGCACATGTGTAACAAATCTTATTATCCTGTAAGGACTTGCATGCTGCATTAATTGGCTCTCTCATTAACAGAATTTCCAAGTTGAGATGATGAGTAGCATATATCTCTTCTTCTCGGTGGGCTTTTGCTATCTTAAGTGTTGTCACATTTTGCTTAAAAACTCTTGTCAAACATGACCCAGCCCTTTTAAAATGTTTATTTTTTAAAAGTAATAGGGGGTGCATTACTTTTTTATTAGATCTTTTAGAGAAACAGAATTTTTAAAAAATAAACAACTAAAAACAATAAAAGTAAATTACAAATAAGTCAACAGAGGTTCTGAAATGTCATAGAGATTATAGCTTTCTAATATATCCTTAATTACTTATGAATCATTAAATATATTTGGAGGAGTGAGTTGTTATGTGGTTTTGGATGTTTGCTAAACGTGGTGTGCTTTTTCTTTTTCTCTTTTAGGACTCAAAGCGAGGATTTGGTATTGCAGTTTCTGGTGGCAGAGACAACCCTCACTTTGAAAATGGTGAAACATCCATCGTTGTCTCTGATGTCCTTGCGGGTGGCCCAGCTGATGGATTACTTCAGTAAATAAGCTTCTTTACTTTAACCTCTTCCCATTTTGTTGCATTGACAGTTTATTTGTAAAAACAAAAGTGTTTCTGAACTTTGGCCTTCCAATTTCCCCGTACAAATGTAGCTATCTGCTTTATTTTATTTTTACTGTAATCATGATAAATCTTGATACCATCCAATTCTCCTTACCTTTATTAGAGCTCTGCAATAGAGGATTTTAAATTTGGGAAGAATTTACTCTTCTGTCATAGAAGGCAGCATTCAGGAACATCTGGGCTGTTTCTGATTTTCTACAGAGAATAAACATAATGCAAAAATAAATTTTTTAAAAACCTTTTTGGGGATGATGATGATGATGATACAGTATTCCTCATTGTAGGTACAGAAAAGAAATGAGAAAATGCCATTACTATATTCTGATGTTTGGTTTCATGATTGCCTCCAGAATTATTTGGTTCATAAATTTGGTTCTCCAACATTGCTTACATCACTAAATAGTATTTGTATTAAAGTACATGCAGTAATCAGCTATGACTCCTGTAATAAAGGAGAAAATGTATGGAGTCCTAGGTGCTCTCTGAACTTGGTGGTTTTCTTGTAGACATTTTATTACCAAATTAGATGATATCATTGGTGCACTGACAATGAAATGTCTGCAAGAAAACCACCAGGCTCAGAGAGCACCAAGGATCCCATAGTTCAACACTGAACTACGAATAGTCCATCAGTAGAAAGTATATATTTGTAAGCCAAACCCGATAAGATCAGTGTAATTCTGCTGTAGGTCCACATGCCCAGTACAGAAGGAAAAGTTTACACACTTTCTCTACACTGTTTCTTGGGTATTAAAGGCCAAAGGGGACAATCTGAGAGTAATACAGGAGTAAACGGCTGCATGGGGTCTTTTCCTATACGGACACTTGCACTTGTGGCAGAATTTGTCAGATCCAGGTATTTTCAATCAGAATAGAATTAATGTTGGTCCTATTTTTTAAAAAAATTAATTACTCATTTTTTTTCCCCCAGAGAGAATGACAGAGTGATGATGGTTAATGGCACACCCATGGAAAATGTGACCCATGCATTTGCTGTGCAGCAGCTAAGAAAAAGTGGGAAAATGGCCGTCATTGTAAGTTTATTATTATTTATTTATTTATTTGCGAAAGAGAGAGACCAGAGAGAGCTTCAGTTTGACCTAGCGGTTAATGTTATAGCGTCGAAACCAGGAAACTCTGAGTTCAGGTCCTACCTTAGGCCTGAAAGCCTTGTGAGTGACTTTGGGCTAGTCACTCTTCCTCAGCCCATCTCACAGAGCTGTTATAGTGAAGAAAATAGGAGGAGAAAGGAGGATTATGTACATTCACTGTCTTGAGTTAATGATAAAGTAATAAAAATGGAATAAAAATCTAATGCATAAATAAAAGTTGTGCAGGACTGAAAGGGAGCATACAACCATGTATTCATGGAGAAATAGGAGTGTTGGCAGTGCAGCTGGTTCCACAGTATTCAAAAATGCAGAGTATGTAAATCAGGACACAGGCATAGTTTGCTTCTGTTAACTATTCTTTGATTTCTCCTGTGTTTAAGCTTTTCCTAGCAGAACTGGGAAAGGGCTGTGGTCCTCAGAAAATCCATCACCAATTGGTCAAAGCAAGATTGGGCAATTTAATGTGTTGTACACAGTCACAAAAGGGTAAGAGGGTATTTTAAAGATCCTCTGGCCTTTCTTCACATATTTAAAAGTACAAATTATTTTTCTTTGCTGAAATAGAAAATCACATGGAGGCTACAATAGTGTTCTTTCTTTTTCTCCTTTTTTATAATCACTCAGCATGGTTTTATTTTATTATTAACTACTTTACAGTATTAATATTTTCTCCCTAAAGCAGGGGTGGGGAACTATGGCCCTTTTATGACTTGTGGACTCCAACTTCCAGAATGCTAGCTCAGGAATTCTGGGAGTTGAAGTCCACAAGTCATAAAGGGGCTGTAATTCCCTACAAGGTTTGAAGAAGAGTATCCACAAAATTCAGGATTTCCATGAGACTGATTTTAATATGTGTTGGTGTTGGGAGACATAATGACTTCAGATCAGTCTTAGAATAGATGATCAAATATATAAAAAGTAACCTTTCTATTACGGTCTGCAATGAGTTCTATGAAATTTGAAATTGTCTATTTGTCTGCCTGTCTATTTCGGTTCAGTAAAATCTGCCATTTTGTACATTTATTAATAGTTTTTCATGGCGGGCTGGGGAATTTTGGGAGTTAAAGTCCACAAGTCTTAAAAGTTGGATACTACTAATCCCAGAATGAAGGCTTCAGTCTAGACCAGTGTTTCCTAAAGCTCAGCAACGTTAAAATGTGTGGACTCCAACTCCCAGAACTGGCTGGGGAATTCTGGGAATTGGAATCTTTAAAGCAGTGGTTCTCAACCTGTGGGTCGGGACCCCATTTGGGGTCGAACGACCATTTCATGGGGGTCGCCAAACAACGCAGTCCGCCATTTTTCCCCCTTTTCCTTAGCTGTGCTACTCCCTTTTATTCTATTGGCTTTTGAAAGCCATAGAATAGACTCTCTTGAATAGAGTCTAATTCTATTGGCTTTCAAAAGCCAATAGGAATTGTCCAGGCTGTCTCTGCCCTGCTGAGCCCGCCAAAAGTCCCATTCTGCAAACGGTGCTGCACCAGTTGAGTAGTCTTCGACTTACGACCGGTTGAGTAGTCCTCGACTTACGACCGGTTGAGTAGTCCTCGACTTACGACCGGTTGGGGGTCGCGGCATTAAAAAGGTTGAGAACCACTGCTTTAAAGTCACTGAGACTGAGAAATAGACTTCAGACAAAAAACAGAGTACCGATTCTATTGCTGCCTTTTACCTGAAAATATGATCAGCCACTGTACCAAGTTGGAATGGAGTGAGCTTTTTAAGTGCAATATAAATCCAGCTGTTCTGACTTGCAAATTGTGGCTTACAACTTAACATAATGTATGAATCCAGCCTTTGTCGCTAAAGTTATGGAAAAATTAATATCTTGCTGCATTTCGGGACTTCAGAAGAGTCTACTATATTCAAGTATAAAATACCCAATCCTGGGAAAATAAACCATGTGAAAATAAGCAAACCTTTGAAATGGAAGAAGATGGAAGGGTTTTTGTTGTATTATTTTGGAATGTTCCTGTTATTGATAAAGCACTTGCAGATGTACAGTGGGGCAAAAAAGTATTTAGTCAGTCACCAATTGTGCAAGTTCTCCCACTTAAAAAGATGAGAGAGGCCTGTAATTGTCATCATAGGTAGACCTCAACTATGAGAGACAAACTGAGAAAACAAATCCAGACAATCACATTGTCTGATTTGGAAAGAATTTATTTGCAAATTATGGTGGAAAATAAGTATTTGGTCAATATCAAAAGTTCATCTCAATACTTTGTTATATATCCTTTGTTGGCAATGACAGAGGTCAAACGTTTTCTGTAAGTCTTCACAAGGTTGGCACACACTGTTGCTGGTATGTTGGCCCATTCCTCCATGCAGATCTCCTCTAGAGCAGTGATGTTTTGGGGCTGTCGCTGGGCAACACGGACTTTCAACTCCCTCCAAAGGTTTTCTATTGGGGTTGAGATCTGGAGACTGGCTAGGCCACTCCAGGACCTTGAAATGCTTCTTACGAAGCCACTCCTTCGTTGCCCGGGTAGTGTGTTTGGGATCATTGTCATGCTGAAAGACCCAGCCACGTTTCATCTTCAGTGTCCTTGCTGATGGAAGGAGGTTTGCACTCAAAATCTCATGATACATGCCCCATTCATTCTTTCCTGTACACGGATCAATCATCCTGGTCCTTTTGCAGAGAAACAGCCCCAAAGGATGTTGCCACCCCCATGCTTCATAGTAGGTATGGTGTTCTTTGGCTGCAACTCAGCATTCTCTCTCCTCCAAACACGACGAGTTGTGTTTCTACCAAACAGTTCTACTTTGGTTTCATCTGAACATAGGACATTCTCCCAATCCTCTTCTGGATCATCCAAATGCTCTCTAGCAAACTTCAGACGGGCCTGGACATATACTTAAACAGGGGGACACGTCTGGCTCTGCAGGATCTGAGTCCCTGGTGGCGTAGTGTGTTACTGATGGTTGCCTTTGTTACGTTGGTCCCAGTTCTCTGCAGGTCATTCACTAGGTCCCCCCGTGTGGTTCTGGGATTTTTGCTTACCATTCTTGTGATCATGTTGACCCCACGGGGTGAGATCTTGCTTGGAGCCCCAGATCAAGGGATATTATCAGTGGTCTTGTATGTCTTCCATTTTCTAATTATTGCTCCCACAGTTGATTTCTTCACATCAAGCTGCTTGCCTATTGCAGATTCAGTCTTCCCAGCCTGGTGCAGGTCTACAATTTTGTTTCTGGTATCCTTCGACAGCTCTTTGGTCTTCACCATAGTGGAGTTTGGAGTGTGACTGTTTGAGGTTGTGGACAGGTGTCTTTTACTGTATACTGATAACAAGTTCAAACAGGTGCCATTAATACAGGTAATGAGTGGAGGACAGAGGAGCCTCTTAAAGAAGAAGTTGCAGGTCTGTGAGAGCCAGAAATCTTGCTTGTTTGTAGGTGACCAAATACTTATTTTCCACCATAATTTGCAAATAAATTCTTTCCAAATCAGACAATGTGATTGTCTGGATTTGGTTTCTCATTTTGTCTCTCATAGTTGAGGTCTACCTATGATGACAATTACAGGCCTCTCTCATCTTTTTAAGTGGGAGAACTTGCACAATTGGTGGCTGACTAAATACTTTTTTGCCCCACTGTAGTTCATTCCATACATAAAAGGAATTTATTGAATGGGCTACTCAGTATTGCATTGATAATTTGGGGAACTACTACTGGTGATTTTGACTTTTTGTGTGAATTAGCCATAGGCTAAGAAAAACAAATTTGGTCAAGTGCTATGCAACGTTGAATTCAAATTTGGCTTATTTGTGCTAGATTTTTGAAAATGGACTACAGCAGTCCTCAGCTTATGGCCACAGTGATAACAGAACATTGCTAAGCAATGCACTCATTAAGTGAGTCAGGCCTGATTTTATAACCTTTTTCTCATGGTCGTTAAATGAATCATGCAATCACTAAGCGAATCCAGCTTCCCCCATCTTCTTTGCTTGTCGGAAGCCTTCTGGGAAGGTCACAAATGGCAGTCGTGTGACCTCTGGGACACTACAGCCATACATGCTGGTTGCCAACCACCCAAATTTTGATCACACAATTATGGGGACAATGCAGCAAATGTAAATGCGAGGACCAGTCATAAGTCTCCTTTTCCACCATCACCATAATAACTTTGAATGATCGTTAGGTGAATGTTTGTAAGTCAAGGACTACCTGTATAAAATGGTTGACTTGTTTTTAAAAAGGCATCCTTGTTCTTCTATCCTGTAAATAGGTGGTGAAAAGACCACGTAAGGTACAAGTCCCTGTAGTTCAACGAAGCCCGTCCCTCGACTATGACTACAGAGCTTTTGAAGCCCTGGATGATCGTGAGGAGTTTGACGGTCGAAGCACTCGAAGCGGCTACAGTGAAAAAAGTTGGCACAGTGGAAATGCAGGCCGTAGCCAGAGCTGGGGAGACAATCTTGATAGGGGCTACAGAGTGGCCCTCGATAAAGGGCGCAGCCACAGCAGAGAACGCAGCTTCAGTCGGGACCGAAGCCGGGGCCGGAGCGTGGATAGAGAGAGAAGCTTGGACCTTAAATACCAACGCCAAAACAGAGGGCGGAGCGTTGATCGATACGATACCTATGACTATGGGTATGATGGAGGCAGGAGTCTACCAAGAGATTATGACTGGCGATCTCGTCCTGACCCTCAGCGTGGGAGGGAAACCAAGAGTGGTAGCAGAGATAGGCTGAGTACCCACAGTCCCACTTCTGACCTGCACGACTGCAGAACACAGGAAGAGCCTGTTAGTATTCTTCTCACAAAAAGCAAAGCCAACGAAGGCAAGTTCTAAAGTACAGGTTGAAGAAATGTGTCCTCTTGCCTTTGGTTTTGTTGTCTTGCTGTTATCGATGCAAAAATCAGTGTTGTTGATGTTTTATTATTTTTTTTCTTCTAAAAAAAGACAACCTATAACTTAGAGAAGGACAAATTGAATGAGATATTGCCAAGTTGTAGTTGCATACATCTGGAGGGCACCATGTGGGAAAAGCCTGCTATGTACCAATAGCCATTGGGTTGCCAGTGGGGGGCAGTAGTATGCCTGGGGATGTGTTCCTTATCCCTTCCTCTATCTAGTTTTATAGGAATCTAGCAGGCTACAGAGTGGACCTTAGTCATGACAAATATTTCTACCAATGTCTATGGCCATTTGTAGATCCTAAATGTTTTCATAGAAAATAAAACAGTGGATAGTTGCTGCCCCGCTGATCTTTGATGAGCTATATCCAATCCTGCAACCATTTTACCTGAAGGCTCATATTGGGCTCTCAAATTTCCAAATGTGCTTCCTGACTCCAAAAATGTGGGCATTTCCAGGATATAGGATATCATTCATTAGCGTTGAACCATTGTAAAGTGCCTAAATATTTTAAACTTTAATTTGCACTTTTGTTTACAGAAGCGAATAAAGAGCAACCAGATAGATATATAACTTTCCCAGTGGTGGGATTTAGTCAGTTTGTACCACTTCAGCAGAACCGGTAACTAATTTTTTGTTGCCCAGGCCCAGAATGGACTTCTGGAAACGGCATCCACGCAAGAGAACCAGTTGTTCACATATTTGAATCCCACCACTGAACTTTCCCCTTTGAGCCTTGGAAGTATTTCTAGGTGGTTTTTGAAAAAAAAAAAGAAAAAACTCTTGTACTTTTCAAGATTTTGCCAGCGATTGTTTATATATTTGGAACCCTCTTAAAGCTGAGAGTCAGAAGATTGCTTTAATTTTAAATGACTTGCTGTATCACAGGGCAAGCATCAAACAATTTTTCTCGGTTTATGTTCAATAAATAGTGTCTATGTCCCTCAAGTACCCACCCATCCAGTTATCTCTGGAGTGTATGTACCCAGAGGCACCAAGAAGCCAGGTTTTTAGGTGGAAAGGTTGAAAATGCCTAAAGAAAAGGTAATTTAGAAGCAGTGTGATAGTCATCATCAAATACATGAAGTAACTGCCATATAAATTTATTTTCTGTACTTTGGGGAGATTAAGAACTGAATTGTAGGCTCACATTTACAAGAAAATGCATATAACAAAACCATCTCGTGAGAAAGATGGCTTCTGATAATAGAAACAGCTGATAATGGCATAAACAACCTGAATAGGCAAGCTAACTTTTGTTCATCAAACATTTTTGAACAAAGGTTCAATGGAATGTATTCTCCTGCATTAAATCCCATACTCAAATTCTGTCTGAATTTCAATATATGATAGCTCATTGCAATGTTGAAAGTTCATAAGGTACTATACAGTAAATTGTGCCTGTGCAAATTGTTTTTTGAGTATAATCTGCCAACTATATGTGGTGCTTGCTTGAATTATGATACTTAACCTGTTTGTGAGCCAGAATAGCCAAATTTAATTTTTAGACTATTTTTGATTTTATGGATCATAAATTACGCCATTGGTCTATAATGTGCAGATTGCAGGACAAAAAAGTGATAGAGCTTTCTTAGAAGCAAAATTTGGAAATCGCTAGTATGCAATTTGATAAATTGCAAAATCTGTCTTCTTGTTCCTCTTGCAGAATATGGTTTGCGGCTTGGAAGTCAGATTTTTATCAAAGAAATGACTGGTACTGGCCTGGCAACAAAGGATGGCAATTTGCACGAAGGTGACATCATTCTCAAAGTATGTCATTGTACAAAAAAAATTAATTTCTTAATGGGGATGTAAAAATATCCTTGTGGTTGTTTTAATTGCCTATTTGCAAATACTGGGCAGAAACTCTCTGAACTTCAGATATAAATCAATCTGTTTGTTTTACACATTCAGATCAATGGTACAGTGACAGAGAATATGTCCTTATCAGACGCTAGAAAACTGATTGAGAAATCAAGAGGAAAACTCCAATTGGTTGTTTTGAGAGACAGAAGACAAACTCTAATTAACATTCCTACCATGCAGGACAGCGAGTCAGAAATGGAAGGTAAGAGGTTGAAAGCAAAGACAAATAACACTTTTTAAACTGTTAAAACTGTTTTAATGATTTTTCAAAAGAGTTGTGAGCAACATCTACATATAGTATGTTACATCTTAAATAGATCTATAAATGTATCCAAATGCAAAATCTTTGTGTCTGTTGTGTGGAAAAACAACAACAGACTCTCAATTGATCTGAAGCATAACCAGATTTTTGAGGCAAGGGATGTGAGCAAGTTCCTGAGCTTGTCTCTCAAGCTTAAGACAATAATGAACTAGGAATCAGCCATGGAACATATATGCTTGATATCATGTTCTGTTTTTCCATGTTCATAGCTTCCATCCTTGATACTGGAGAGGCAAATACCTCTAAATAAGCCTTTTGTCTATCCCATGCTATTTCATAGGTGCTAGTTTTCTTCCATTTTCACATACGCAGTAAATGCTCATAATCGTTGGCAGGAATTCATCGCTCAAGCAGATAATATCAGGCATACCTTACTCAGTTTTCCTGAAACAGCTAGTGTCCCCTTGAAGTGAATAGGTCCTTTTCACTTGTTTTGAAAGCAGGGCTAGAAAAATCTGAGGTTGCTTTTGGTGATAGGAAGTATTTTCTTCCTAATGCTGAGGTCACCATTATAATTTCTTCAGCCTCAGAGATCTCTGAGAGAAAAGAAGACTGGTGACATTACAATGTCTCTACAACAGATGGGATTTATCAGGTTTGCTTTGCTTTAGATGGGCTTTAAAGCAAAAGGAATGCCTTAAAGCAGAGATCCCTAACCTGTACTACAGCCCATTGGGAACCAGGCCGCACAAGCGCTGAGTGAGCAGGTCAGTGCACGAAACTTCATTTGCACAAGCAATGGACACGCACGCTTATGCGCAAAGCTCCATTTGCACTGAACCATCCCTTCCACATACAGCCCACTGCCAGCGCTGGTTCACAGAGCTGGAAAGGTTGGGGACCACTGCGTTAAAGTTTAAAGGAAATTAGTGTTTTAAGGTGCCAGGTGAGTGCTATAAAGTTTAAAAGTATAAGTCTTTCCCCTTAATCCACCAAAATCCTGATTTCTGGGGCAAAACAGTCCTAGGGGCCACATGTGGCATGTATCCCCAGATTGTGCATATTTGAAGAGACCTTACTTCTTCTGCCTGCCTTTGGATATATGCCAGAACATCAAGAGATTGGTATCTATTCTGGCCTAAGGCTTCAAGAGAAGAATGTTGCCTTCCTGCTCTAGTGACTTCCGAGATAACCACACAATGAGAAGTGACAATCTGATATTTCCATTTCCCTGCAAGCTACTACCACAGTAGCCTTCAAGCAACTGGTCATAATTTTTATGCCAACCCTAAAGATTGCCACAGATTTTTTTTTTTTTCAAAGGCTTCATCTGAACGAGGCTTGTTGAATGACATCCTTCAAAGAAAAGCTAAGAAATCTCTATCCCAAGTTTAGATCTGTTTGGTAATCAAAGTTAAAATGGTTTAATTTTCTGCCTGGAGGGCTTAAGTTTCCTAGTTGGAGTACCTTGTAGCATCAGCTTTCTTTAATTTCAGAAAGCATTTTTTGCTGTCAGTGTTTAAAAGAAGAAAGCCTTTTATTATGCATACACGTCCACAAATGTTAAAATTACAGATGGCGGTAACTTTTCCAGACTCTGCACTATGTTCTGCCAACAGATATTTCAGAAATAGAGTCAAACCGATCTTGCTCACCTCAGGATAACCGAAGACTGCATCATTCTGATGTGGAATGCCATTCTTCAAATGAAAAGCTAAAGGAAAAATTGAGGTGAGATTTCTACTGTATTGGCATTTACTTTTTGTTATCTCACAGAAGCTTTGATTTGTTTTTAATAGTGTCTGATTTTTGTATTAAGTGCAAAAGAAGACCCAACCAATAGACTTTCCAAAATGGGAGCAATGCCCACTCCTTTTCGATCAACTGTGGATTCCACAGCTGCTTTAATACCAGAGACAAATAGTCAAGTGAAGTACCAAGACGATCTGCCAGGTTAGTGCTGCTTTCTTTTGAGATCCTTTGGATTCAGTAACAAGCCATCCTGGTTTCCATTATGTAGTTACACAATTTGATTAATGATTCATAGGATTGAATAATAAGATTCCACTTTCCTCCTGCTTCAGGCAATTAAACCCCCTAACCTATTCTCACAAGTTGGATTCCTTCAATGCAAAAATCCACAGCCAATCAGATCATTTTAATGTACTTATTTATATTGTGTTGTTAATATCATTATCATTATCAATGATTGCCCACCCGAACAGGCTCTGGGTGGCTTACGTAGGGGACCCAGCCTCCAGGCTGTGGACCGACACTGGTCTGCAGCCTGCCACACACAAGTGAGTGAAGCCCTCTCCGTGCATGTGTGGGACCAGGCATAACCACAGTTATAAAAAAATGATAGGGGCTTCATAACATATCTGCTCCAGTCCTAGGAACAGAGTAAGTCTTCTGGAACCCCAGAAGAGTTGGTACCTTATGTACCTATGTGGCGGATGCTGTTGAGAGGGCAAGGGCAGTGACAAAGAAAGCATGTTTTCTCAGTCCCACAAGAGGAGAATATTAAGTTGAGGAGATCACACTTACTGTGCCCAAATGTACTGGGTGGGAAGCAACAATTGGAGATAATTTAATAATTTTACATAATCTATGGAGTAGCATGCTGAGTGCCCAGTCGATAATGGCTTATCTAACAAAATTTGACTAATAAACTATGATTTATCATATTTCATGACACATGCTAGAAATTTTTTGAAGAGTCTGCAACTGAAGGAAAGAAAGTTGTTATTATAGCAAAAGAGCATTAAATAAAATTAATATTGATCTGGTACAGATACGTTAAGCCAAAATATAGATAATTTGGTTTTGCCTTAATATAGTCTGTAAACCCAGTCAATTGTGTTTTATCAATAAACTGTGGTTAATAAAAATGTACTAGTCTAATATGCAAGCCAATTTATATAGTGGTTTATAGTAGAATATATTTTTGAAATTTCCTTTGAGATATTAAGGCACACGCCATTAAATGTTGTTGAATAAGAACACTGGATGGGTGCCATAGGTTTTGTTTGTATAGATGTGCTATAGGATTCTGATTTTGCTGCATATTGGGAAATGACTGCAAATAGATAAATATTCTACTTTGTAGCATTGCATGCTTGGCAAATAAAATTTTAGCAATAGTGTATGTTATCTTATACATTTTATATTTACTGGGAGCAAGGACACAGATATTAATATTGATTATTTTAAGTAAAATGTACTGAATTTCTGATATATCATTTTTTATTATTGAGGACTAAAATAGAAGCAGATTCTAAATTTGTCTTTTATTTATCTCTCTATATACATACATAATACAGTTGTACATTCAAAACCAGCAACAAGAGTATTTCTTCAGCCAAGTCCTGAGGATCAAGCAATATATGGGTATAACTTTTTAACTTTTATGAGTATTGTTTTGATTTCCTATAAACTTTGCAAGTATAAAACGGCAGTTCTAATTTCACCAGAAGTGTTTTGAAACTGTTCTTATTATACTGAACTCAAAACAGTTCTAAATATGCTTAAAATGCTTCTGGTCACGTCAGGATGTTTCTAGTAAGATTGAAACAAGTGATTCTGCAATCAGAACATGAGTTTCAAACTTGAAAGAGGATTAGAGTGGAAGGAATATAAACGAAAAAATATTCCTTTTCACCCTTATGTGCCTTTCTTGATCTCAGGTCCTCCTGGGAGTTTGAGGGTTCTGTCAGAGTCCTAGCACTGCATTTTTCTGTACAGAGAGCTCCGATGTTGCAGGAATCTGTTGAAATCACTCTCCCAGCTTAGATGTCACAGCCCCAAGTGCCACTCCTGCAACCATTTTGGCCTTTACTTTCCACATCTTCTCTAGTTCCTCCTTCAGGCCTTGGTACTTCTCCAACTTCTCATACTCCTTTTTCCTATTGTTGCTGTCATTCAGCACTATTACTTTCGCTGTCTTTTGGTCCTTGTCCACTATCACTGTATCTGGTTGATTGGCCAGTACCTGTCTGTCCTTCTTAAGTTCTGATCTTAACTTCTTATTCTCCATGATCTGTGTAATCTCTCATCTAGATTTGGGAGGGTCTGGCCCATATACTATGCAGAAGTTTTTGAGGGTTGACTGTTGCTAGTTTACCCATGATCCTATGCCACATATCAATTGCCATGCTCTCTAATGGAAAAGGTGGCAGTGTTATTCCACCTTCAGATGTTGGCTGCACCTTCTGGGTCTTTCCACAAATAATGAGAACAGTTTCCTCTTTACTATGTAGAAGCACTGGCTTACTAGCTGCTTCTCAGTTAGTGTGGATGTGGGGTTTTTTGTCCATTCAGTTTCCTCATACATTTCATATCCCCTCTCATTAGGACTAATGTTGTAGTAGCATTTCATCAATTCCAGAGTCTCTTACCTCATCCATGTATAGTTGGTTCCAGTAGCCCACTTGTCAGATTATTCTGGTTCCCAGCATCTGATGCAGATCTTGTTAACCTGGGTAACATCCAAACCAACATGACTCTTTAAGTTTGTGTCACTCATATCTAAAGTAGGCAGGTGAAGCAATAGGGCTTTTGCCCAAGGACCCCTACTGGTAAGTACCAGTTGGGAGTTGAACCCCAGTCTGCTGAATCAAAGGCAGCACTCTAACCACTACACTTTTCACTGGCTTGTGAAGTCTGGGAGTTGAAATCCATAACTCTTAAACTTGCTAAGGTTGAGAAACACTGCTATGGAAATTATTTATAGCTATTATATTTTAAACTGAAATAAATAACATCCATTGTTTTCTCTTTTAAGTCCTGATACAAAAATGGTGCAGTTCAGGAAAGCAGATAGTGTGGGTCTCCGGTTGGCTGGTGGGAATGATGTAGGAATATTTGTTGCTGGAATTCAAGAAGGGACCTCAGCGGAACAGGAAGGCCTACAGGAGGGAGATCAAATTCTTAAGGTTTGCCTGCAGAATTATTTTCCATTTAAAATTTATTATTTTAAGCAACTTAACTGAAAAAATATCCCTGGTGTTTATAATTATGAGAACAATTCTGAAATTTTCTTTTAGGAAGTCTGTTTAGTGATATGGCTGAGATAAATATACATTTTATTTTTCAATTTTTTATGAAAGAAAAAAAATCCCCTCGTCACAAAAATTTCTTTGCCTTTCTGTGCTCTCTATTATAATTAACAGATTATAATCTGTCAATTAATGTCAGTATTTCTGAATAGCCTGGCTTAAATGTAAGGCCTTGTTTTTAAGGAAAGCAGGGTGACTGAAGTTGGTTGTGATTTCCAATATTATAATAGGATATGTGAAATCATTCAGGTAAATTCCCTATTTTTCTGTAGGCTTCTTCAATTCTTGTGCCTTACAGATGTACGTAATTCTCATTATAAATCGATGCACCTGCTTAGTGAAAGCTGCAATAATATAAAACATAAATCACTAAAAAGTATTGTATGGTTACCTAAAATTGCATTATATAGTGATTTTTAAAAAACTGAAAGAAATCCTAAAGCTGAATATGGTTCCTTTGCACCAGGTAAACGGACATGATTTCAGAGGTATTATACGAGAGGATGCTGTTCTCTACCTGTTAGAAATTCCTAAAGGTGACATCGTGACAATTTTGGCTCAGAGCAAATATGAGGGTACGTATGATGAATATTAATTTGTAAAAGAATAGCATGTTTCTAATGTGCTGCTTTGTTTAATATATTTTCTTGTTTTATCTTTTGTTCTGTTTATAACTACTATTTATCATATTGTTAGAAATGTTTATTAGTTAAAATAATGTATTTTTTCTGATAAATATTCAAGTTTTTAAGATAGCTAAATAGATCACTGGTTCTTTGTTAATTTGCATAGTGATTACCTTCGTGCTAAAAAGAGATATCTCCACTTTTTGAAGCTACAAAAATGTCTGGTGATCAAAAACATTTTATTATTATTATTGGTTAGCAAAACCAACTTCTTTGTTTACATTATCGCTATTATAAATTTATAGAAAATGTCTGTTAATATATATGATTCCTTTTAAAATATGAGCCATTGATAGTAGGATATAGCATGTTGAAATTCAGAAATTGATTTCTGTGTAATATAGGGAAAAAATAGTCCTGTGTGAAAAGTGATATAAAAGCATTTTCTATTCTTCTATATCTATGGCTCTTAGGTATTTATTTGATGGAAGCAAATAATAATAATTAGAGTTTTTCTTGCATCTGTTCCTTCTCCACCCCACCCCCCAGTTTATAGAGACATAATGGCTTGTGGTAGAGGGGATTCTTTCTTCATAAGGACCCACTTTGAATGTGAAAAAGAAACTCCACAGAGCTTGGCTTTCACCAGGGGTGATGTCTTCCGTGTGGTTGATACACTGTATGATGGGAAGCTGGGCCATTGGTTGGCAGTGAGAATTGACAGTGAATTAGAGAAAGGGTTGATTCCGAATAAAAGCAGGTATGTTACTCTCCTGTAAATGTAATATGGGATACCTTACCTTTATTCCATCACACTATGACGATATATCTAGTTGATGCTTGTTCTTAGTGATTATGTAAATTGTATAGATTTCTCCAGGATGACTGTCCTTCAGACCTGGTCCTTCAAGCTTCCCAGTGGTGCACCCATTGTTGCTGTAATTTAGTCCATTGTTCCGCTTATTCAAGGATCTGGGTCTTTACATAATGTGTCTAAAATTTGTCCTTGAGTTACAACCCTGAATTGACTTATTCTGTGATTGACTGATTGGTTTTCTTGGCTAGCCTTAGTATTCTCAGGAGCCTTCTGCAACATCAAATATCAAAAGCATGAATACTTTTTAATCCTGCTTCTTCAAAGTCTAGATTTCACATCTGTGAACTTTGAAAGGAAGAACAAAGTTTCTAGTTTTTATAGCTATGGACTGGTCATTGCATCAGAATAATTTGCCCAAGGCTTTCATTGCTACCTTGCTAAGTGCTAGTCTGCAGAGTGTTTTTTGATCATCCCTCTGAAGTTTCATTTAAATCAAGTTTGATGTACAAATACATGTAGGTAGAACTAGATCCACCAGGACCAAGGAATAATTTTAGTCCTGTTCCAAGAAGGGCACACCGTTATCTGTTCCTATTTAAATGAATTGCAAAGATGGACTAATGTAATATAGGGGCTAGGAAAGCTCCTGTGGACACCTATGAGAAGGCCTCAGCTCCAAGGATTGGCATTATAGCAATCAGCATATATATGAAGACTCATTTTTTAAGTTCCTATGACAATGTTAGGGACTAATTATTCAAATCTTTTAAATCAAATTCTTTCTTTTAAACTTGGAAACTAGTTCCATTTGATTTTAGCTGTATTTCCATTGTTGGGTTTTGAAAAATGGAGCAAATACTCTCCCTTTCAGGGCTGAACAGTTGGCCAGTGTTCAGAATGCTCAGAGGGATGGTTCCAGTGATAGGGCTGACTTCTGGCGTATGCGTGGCCAGCGATCAGGAATGAAAAAGAATCTGAAGAAGAGCCGAGAAGATCTAACAGCAATTTCATCTGTTGGCACAAAATTTCCAGCCTATGAGAGGGTTATGCTCAGGGAAGGTGAGTGAGGGACAAGATTTAAGAACTGGGAACCTACATCCTTATTTATAAAATATAGATACTTCTTTTGGGGAGGGGGGAAATGTTAAAAAAATATAATTCTTCAGTTTTGTCTCTATACCGTTGGTCAGCAAGTATGGCAACCTTATGACCTGTGGACTTCAACTCCCAGAATTCCTCAGCCAGTCATGGGCACTGAAGAAATTACCCCCATCAGAAGTTTTGATTTTTAGATACCGTATACAGGAAAGGATAACTTCTTTGATGGCTCCTAGGCATTATGACTAAACTTTCCCTTGTAAAGAGAAATGTTTACATATAAATTAAGGTAGTTATCCAATTTACAGACAATAGATGTTAGCCAATTATGTTCCCCTGTTGAAATTACTTTCACCAAGACAATGGAAGAAGGCAATTTTGCTTTCCTCTCTTGCCTCCATATACTGTGAAAATTGTTTCAATAGTCTAGAACAGGGATAGGCAACCTTGGTTCTTTTATGACTCGTGGACTTCCAGCTCCCAGAATTCCTGAGCCAGCCAAGCTGGCTGAAGTTGAAGTCCATGAGTCATAAAAGAGCCAAGGTTGCCTACCCCTGCTCTAGAACAATGGGTATGTAGTGAGTAGTAATATGAACGAGAGAAAAATAATGTGTTGTTATATGAACAGAATCCATTGATGCAGCACTGGACTTTTTCCTCTAATGACAATAAATCTTAAATGATTAGTTTTTCACTTTTATCTTTTAATCATGGTAATGAACTACATGTTTTCTTTGCAGCTGGTTTTAGGAGGCCAGTGGTGATATTTGGTCCTATTGCAGACATCGCGATGGAGAAGTTGTGCAATGAGTTGCCAGAGCTATATCAGCCTGCCAGTGAGTGACTTCATGCTTGTTATTAATGGAACAAAAATAATCCATCAGATAATTATAAAGTAATGGCAATGAAATAGATAAGGAGGAGGTTTTTATTTTTAATGGTTCATTACCTTAGCACTGTAAAAGCCCTAGTTCCTAGGGAATGATCTTTGGATAGAAAGCCATTACAGAAGAGACCCAACTTTTTCTGTTCTTCCTGGAGTTTTCCCACAAGTTACTTAGCCAGCTTTCATTCTTAAGGCATGACTAGAACTCACAGACTCCTGGTTTCTAGTTTGGTATCTTAACCATTAAACTAAACTGGATTGCAGTAGTCATAAATGAGAAAAGTAATTCATAAACTTGTCAAAGTAAGGAATTTAATTTTGGGCACATGAGCAAAACCTCTGGCACAAACTTTATCGGTGAAGTGATACTAATTAAGACATTCCTGATCTAAAACGATTAAGAGCTTTTAAGATTGATATTGGAACTTTGAACAAAAATATGTATTACTTTTAGATTTTTCTATTCAGGCAGCCAAGTTGAAAACTGCTAATGTTACCTCCTAAAACAAACCTTAAATATATGATAAAACCAGCATATTACTCTTTCAGAAACAGAACCAAAAGACGCAGGTTCGGAGAAGTCCGCCGGTGTAGTACGTTTGAACACTGTGAGACAGATTATTGAACAGGTATATTTTTCCTTTTGTATCCTATCCATTAGAATAATAGTAGTAGACCATATTAAAAATATTGCTATGTTTTTCTTCCCTTTCCTACAAGCATAAACTCAATATTGCACTTTTCTTGTACAGGACAAGCATGCTTTGTTGGATGTGACTCCCAAAGCTGTGGATCTGTTAAACTACACTCAGTGGTTCCCAATTGTAGTATTTTTCAACCCAGACAGCAAACAAGGAGTGAAAGTTATGAGGCAAAGGCTAATTCCCACATCCAACAAGAGTGCACGGAAGCTTTATGATCAAGCAAATAAGTTGAAGAAGACATGTTTCCATCTTTTTACAGGTGCATAAAGCTATCACTTGTTTGCTGTGAAAGCATCTATTGGTGTATAGAGTAAATGTTATGTGACTGCCATACAGGAAATGTCATAGTATATTCAACAATCAAACTCCAAATTCCGTTGAATATACAAGTTTTGGATAGATAATATTTCTGTTGGAATTAACACAAAAGCAATGTGTTTATACATAAGTAAGGTAACTTTAATAGTTTTGGAAAAATATTCCAATTATAGGAAAGCAAATATATTCTAATTATAGGAAGGTTTAAGCAGTGGAATAAGCTAATCAGGAGTTCCTAGCCTTTCCCAAAAAGCTTGGTCCAAATAGCTTAAATGGGTCACAGTATTAAATGAACTAATAAAAGTATTCTGATTATATTCACACAACATATTGTTTGTTCTTCTAAACCAGTGGTTCTCAACCTGTGGGTCGGGACCCCATTTGGGGTCGAATTACCATTTCACGGGGGTCACCAAACCATGCTGTCCGCCATTTTTTTCCCCTTTTCCCTAGCTGTCCTACTCCCTCTTATTGGTGGCCACACCCACTTGGGGGTCACCACAACATGGGGAACTGTATTATGGGGTCATGGCATTAGAAAGGTTGAGAATCACTGTTCTAAACTATATTTAAGAGTTCAGTAGGGGAGTTACTGAGAAAAGTGTCTGTTATGGTTATAAGCTACAAGTGTGAGAAGAAGAAATCAGTAGTAAAGTAGAAACAATGATTTATTTCAAATAGATTATGTTTCTTAAGTAGGACCAAAGCATACAGGAAGAATGGTATAATTAAATATATTATCCATTCTTGATCACTAACGTTCTCATTTTTACTTTTACATTGATTGAATGCTGTGCTACTGTTTTACTCTGCTTTTAAATATTAAGCATCTCCTCACAGACTTATAGTAAATAGTGAGGTAATTAACAGGTGAAGAAAAGCAGTGATCTTGTTCTATTGAAAAATCATTCAAGTAAGATAATGAAATGTTTGGCAGTAATGATTTGCTAATCCAACAATTCTATTTCTGCAGCTACCATTGATCTAAATTCAGCCAATGATGGTTGGTATGGCAGTCTTAAAGATGTTATTCAGCAACAACAAAATGAAGCAGTATGGGTTTCAGAAGGAAAGGTATGTGCTCACGTCCTTTTGGTTTGTGCATGTGTATTCACCTGGAACATGGACCAAGAGTCTTTGAGAGGAAAGGCTTTATGTGTAGAGGAATTTCTTCTTTATACATGCACAGAGGTCTCCTTGTTCAAAGTAAAGGTTGTTGAATTTAATTTCGTAGTTAAAAACCTAGCATTCTGATACTAATGGGCACTAAGGCATTCATGGAAACATATTCATGGGTCTTTCTCAGTACATTTACAGGTCAATACAGGATTGCTAAATTTCACTGACTTTCATTGTTCAGATTGAAAATGCTGAAATCTAATAAGATGCAGCAGTGTCATTGGATTTTAGCCATTTTTTACCTTTTGATTTTTAGGTAATATGCTATTGCATCAGGTTGTGTTGATGCCTTGAAAAGATTGTCAGATTCTGGAGTATATCACTAATAAATGGTGTATAGCTACTCTTTCTAGCATGTGACTTTACTTAAATATTTTTCATTCCATTTCCTACTGTGTTAAGTATAACAGTTGCCTATAAGTCCTTGTCTTATGACCACAATTGAGCCCAGAGTTTTGATCATAAGTCATTGTGGTGCTAAGTCAAGTCGCCATATGATAAAGACTCCATTTTACAACCATTTTTAAAAGCGTCATTAGGTTAGTAAATGAATCACATAGTTCTAAGTCTGAATCCAGTTTATCCAACGGGCGTTGGGAGGCTGCACAAGTTTGTAAATGCAAGCCAGTTGCTAAGCACCTGAATTGCAATCACATGACTGCAAGTGGTGCAACAATCATAACCTCAAAGATAGGTTGTAACTTTTTTGAATCCATTGTAACTTTGAATAGTCATTAAGCAATCAATTACAAGTCAAGGACTGCCTGTGTTCTGAGCCTCAAAAATCTCTTTACAAAACCTTTTTTGCAGTTGGAAGGAATGGATGATGACATTGATGATCGTATGTCATACTTAACCGCCATGGGTGCTGACTATCTGAGCTGTGATAGTCGACTAATCAGCGACATGGAAGACACGGACGGGGAAGATGGGGCTTACACAGATAATGAACTTGATGAGCCATACTATGAGTCAAGAGTTTCTTCTATCAGTTGGTCCTCTGAACCTGTGCAACAGGAAGAGGTAAGAGGTTTCTTTTCTTCTTCTTTCAGAACTTTGCATTGTAAATACTGATGGATCGCATGTAATGAAAGAGAAGTCTGGAAAATAACTAGTGCCATTTCCAGATACTAATGAACTTTGTTTGCATTAATGTCTGGGATGCAAGAACTCGTGCGTCTTTTTACTGTCAGTTGCAAAACTGTAATTTCTCTTCACATGAAGCCAGAACTATGTGAATATATGCATCATGGTTATTATTACTTGCTTGTAGAGTCTAAGGAAATTTAGCCCTGAACCGAAAGCTCAGATGAGAAAAGCTGGGAGCAGGGAAGTTTTAAGGGACCCCAGTCCACCCCCAGCCTTCAAGCCTGAACCTCCAAAGGTAACATGAAAAAATCTCTACAGCTTGTGAGAATTGTTGATGTTTCTTCATTAATTACCAAAAACACAGGACTATAAAAAGTAAAGAAAAAAAGAAATGGGAATAGTCTAAACCAGGTGCGTCCAACTTTGGCAACTTTAAGACTTGTGGACTTGATGATGATGTTATCCATTCAGTGTATCTTGGTGATTCTATGGGCCAGGTCTCTCCACATCTTTCGATCTTGAACTGTTGTGGACTTCAACTTCCAGAATTTCCAGAATTCCGGAAGTTGAAGTCCACTGGTTTTAAAGTTGCCAAGGTTGGACACCCCTGCTCTAAATCCTGAGCTAGGCAATACTTTTTGTAGAATAATGTCAGAGAAAATGTCCCAAAAGGGGGATTCATGCTATTGAATGGCCTGGAGGATTTAAAAGCTTGCAAATTTTTGCGGCATCTAGTTGGTCTGTTAAACATAGCTATCCATGGATTGTTGATTCATTTATTAAGAGTGTTTTAGTTACTTTTCAACATCTGTTCAACATCTAGCTTCAAATCTTGATGTGAAAATTAAGGGGGAAAAGTAGCTCTACACTTGTGTTTTGTTAACTAAAAATAATCAGCTTTATAGGTTTATCAGTTTATTGAAACTGATCATTTCTAGACTGAATCTGTAATTTTTATGTAAAAAAAAATCCACACTTGCATGTGTCTTTATGTTTACAGGCTAAGTTGCAAAACAGAGAAGATCCGTATGATGTTCCTAAGAATTACGAACCCAGAACAAACTGCCCTAATGCAGCTAGCATTGAAAATTTGGGAGTACCAGCTAAAGTAGCTCCTCCCCCTATTGCCACGAAACCAATCTTTGGCCGGCCTATATTGAAGTCTTCTCAACCAGTCATTCAACCTTCTGAAATGGAAGAAAAAGTGGGAGAAGTTGTAGTAGAAGAGAACACGCCTAAATCTGTGCTGGGGAAAGTTAAAATTTTTGAGAAAATGGATCACAAGGCCAGACTACAAAGAATGCAAGAAATGCAAGAAGCGCAGAATGCCAGGGTATAAAATAATAATTTTGTTGGTCTTGTGCAAATGTTTTCTTTAAAATAGTAAGAAAACTAGTGATACAGAGTCAAATTAATAAAAAATATAATTCAAACAACAGTTTGGAGATACGGCAGATAGGATTTTTGAAAGCTTTTTCAGAACAGTTTGGAATGGAGTCCTAGAACTGCCAATGAAGAAAAATTGTAGAAAAATATTATCCTTTCTAGCACAATAGTCTCCATTTTTTATGTCATTCAGAAATCCATTTTATATCCAAAGCTCTAAGTCTAGATATTTTTACATATTTTGTAAATAATCTGACAAGTCTGTAAAGTAAATGGATCATCTTGCTGTTGAAGGGAAAATTGCTATCAAAGAGTAACTTATAGTTTGAGGAAAATATGAAAATATTTTACCTTTTTTTAAAGGTGGAAATAGCACAAAAACATCCAGACATTTATGCAGTCCCAGTGAAAACACAGAAGCCAGAACATAACCGTCCCCAGACTGCCAGGTAAAACTGAATTTGCCCATACTTTTTTAATACTTCTGTGGCTTTGAATATGTGTAACATGCTTATTCAGCATCAGAATATTTTTAGAACAGAAGTCCACAAGTAAGCTGGAAGGTGATAGCTCTCCAGATAGTGTGGTGCGGTTAATTATCTTTTTCCACATTTTTTTTACTTCACTGTGCCTTGCATTCAGTCTGCAGGCAACATGAATCTCTTGAACTTTATGTGAAGCCTGACTAAAAACCTTGTCTCCTGGTCCCTTTCAACTCTGTTTTTTCTTATAGCCTCCAAGAGGCCATCATCAAACTCAGCAGTACCAACAATATTTGTTTTCAGTTCTCCAACCTTTCCTTCCTGGGGAAGATTGTTGACAAGGTGGTAGGTCTACATTTCCAAAGGATTCTGGAGGAAGCTGATTATCTGTACCCATCCTGGTCAGATTGGGATATAATAGTAAAATGTCATTGATAGCACTTGTGGATGATCTCTAGTAGGTTCAGCATGAGGGTAGTATATCCTTGATCTTTGAGTTCAATATCATCGATCACTGATTTTCTGGGGCAGCTGAGCAGGAGTTAGTGACATGGTCCTTCAGTGGTTTTCCTCCTTCCCTTGAGGCTGGTTTCAGATGATGCTGTGAAGGGGTGGGGAGAGATCTAGTTCTAGAGCTCTGCTTTGCAGGGTGCAGCAGTGCTCAATTCACTCCTTATTTAACATCTACATAAAATTGCTGGGCAAGGTGATCCACTGGCCCAGGATGAAATATTACTATGTTGACTATACTCAGTTATCAAGTAAGGTTGAGAATTTCCACCACCTGGAGGCTGTAAATATTTGGATGGGGAAGAACCAGGTTTGGCTAACTCTTCACTAGGCTAAGAGTCTGTGGGTTTTAAGGCCTCCCATATCTAATGGTTTGCCATCTTTAATGCTGGCTGGGAATATGCTCCCCAGGCACAGTTGATGCATATTCTTGAGTTCTTTCTGGACTCACAGCTTCTGCTTGAGAACAAATGGCAGCTTTGGCCAAGAGAGTCTTTGTATGAATTTATCCTGTGTACCAGTTCTGTCTTTTCCTAGATTGGGAAGCACTGCTCATGGCCACTCATGCCTTGGTCACCTCTCAATTGGACTGTTGTAATGTGTTCTACATAGGATTGCTTTTGAAGAGCATTCAGAAACATCAACTAGTCCAAAATGCAGTGGCACAGGCAATGTTCGGTGCACCATGATATACTCATAGAACAGCATTGCTATGTGAGTAACACCAGCTAACATAGACTTTCAGCCTTCTATCTGTCACTTTCAAATTTACATGGCATGGGCCCAGGTGATTTGCAGGACCGCCTACTTCTAGCGGTTTCAGTCTATCATCAGATCTGGCATGGGGCATGCTCCAAGTCCTTTTGGCTAGCCTTCTCTGTCATGGCCTCCCCCAGAAATTTGTATGGTCCCCACCCTGATCTTCAAAAAGGTAATGAAGACCTGGCTTTTCCAGATGCACTGAGACCAGGAAATTATTGGACCTCTGGTGTGGTTGTGTGTGATTTATAGCTGTGAGTTTTGGAGCTTTTTTTTTTCTTTCTTCAAATTGACTGAAAATAATATTTTTATCCTTGTTTGCTACCCAAGATTCTTCTGGTAAACAGACTGCTACAGAAATGTGTGCAGTTAATACATATAGATGTATACCCCTGCTTATAATGATCTTTTACAAATCTGTTGCCAACAAAGGAGCTTGTTCCTTTCCACATTTTATATGTGGAAATACACTCCTGACCATTTGCAGCCGAATTTTCTTCTGTAAGAATTTTATTCATAACCACCCATTGTTCTCTTTCGCTTGTCCTCTGCTAAAACACTGACCTAATTAAGTATACACCTTTTTTTCCACTTTCGTCAGAGAGCTTTTCTTGGTTACACTGTAATTGGACCTTTAATTTAAATATGTCAAATTTTTGAGCTATTTGAGAAGTAACTCTGGAAGATTAACAGTAAATATTAAGTACTTTGGGTAAAAAAAATATCATTTTTCTTTGATTTTTAAGGAATATCATTATAGTTATGGCAGTCTCGTAGAATAGAAGAAAGCTGCAGAACATTATTAAAAATAGCTTTTCTCTTTCCCATCTTATTATGGTTTTGTTTTAACAAACATTTGCAAAATGAGCTGTGAAAGAATAGTCAGAGAGCTAAATGGATAGAGTGCATAAAACTTTGCTGCCCCTAAAATATATCCCAATCAAAAAAATAAAAATTAGAAACATTTTATAGTTTAGTTGCCCACATTTTCACAGGATGTATTATCCTATGCTAGCAGCCTAATTTCAGGCCAGCCTAAGGAAGACGAAACAACTCCTTTCAAGTAAGGAAATTTTGAAATGGCAGTGATTTGGCAGGAACTTGGTTTCAGATGTATTGTTGATGGTATGACATTATTAATAAAAGCAAACTTTTTTTACTTTAACTTAAACTGCTAACAGACTATTACTGCTTGGAATAGTCTGTTAGCTCACTCAAAATAACTTTATATATGTTGATTTTAGTTCCAGGCCTCCCGAGCCTCAGAAGCCAGCTGTTAAATCTTACCTAGATAATCCAGGAATTTACGGCATTGATGCAGAAGAGGAAGATTATCGGAGGCAGCTATTTGATCAGTCCAAGCGTGGATACTATGGGCAGCCATCTCGATACAGAGATACAGAATTATAAAATTATTAGCAGTCAAGCCATTGTTCTGGGAAACACTTGCACATCAAAAGCTCTGATTCTTTTAAACAAGTATATGTATATTTGGGGTTATTAGTGAACTTGACAAGTATAAGAATGGCGCAGTGTCATTTAAGTATTGAAGGGACTGGATCATGGTTGCCTATTTTACAAAAGGACCAAATATATTTATAAAGTTGGTATTAATTTCTGGCATCTATAAATTTTTAACTTGCAATTCTTTTCCTCACTGAAATTGCCTTTTTAATATTCTCTTAACTGTTGGGCGGCCTAATGGAAGCTTGATGAAAACCACAAGGCTTTACTGCAAGAAAAAAAAAGTGCCTTTCAAACAAAAAGTGTCTTCAGTTGTTCCCTTAACATCTGATACTTGTGCAAAGCCATGAAATTTCTACTGCTTTTAACTTTTATATGTTTCATAACTCCCATTTTCCCCTTGGATGTTATTTTTCTACTTTAAATAGAACTGTATACTATTTTCAAAAGCAATGACTGTATATATGAAACTGTTTTCTAGGCTGACTGCCATAAGGCTAGAGAGTGCCAAGATTAAAGAAATTATGTAGAAAATAAATGAGACTTTGGGTTTTAAAACTTTCCATCACTCGTAAAATAAAAAAGATTATATTCTACAGGCAATTATGGTTCCATTTTGTCTTTATACCTTTTTAAAATTGTGTCTGGAGGCAAGTAATTTCATTCACTTAGGTTGTGGCATATTGAGCAGTACTTTGCAGGACTATTATTTATTCAAAGATACAGAATAGCAGGGGGGGGAGAATAATAATTCCACACACAATGGAAATAGAAGATGCTGGACTGTTGCAGTAGACATTCTTGTGGCACACCAATATCCTTGTTCATGCACCCACTGTTCCCTATCAAATTTCAGGCCTGAATGTCACTTCCCTAATTTTTGAATGTCATGTTTTTTGAACTATGGAGCCAACTGTGTATTCCATATTAAAGAACTAGCATAATACAATTTAAAACTTCGACTACTAATCCACCATTCTCTTTCAAGTCTACTTGTTTATGCCAATCATTTTATGTCTTTACAATATGTATTGGAACCATTTGAAAAAAGAAAATTAACTCTTGGTAAAATGTTCAATATAAAAACTACAATACTACCTAGCCAAGATAAATTTATTTTTTTTCCATAATCTTTCTAACTTGTAAGTCATTGATTTTAAATAAATTCCTACTATTTTTTGGTGTGTAAATTCCTATGGCCATTTAAGGCTTTTTACAGTAAAGTTAAAACCAAATGTTAAATACTGCAGAGATATTATTTGTCTTGCTCTTCTCTTGGAATACTTTAACAATACATAGTTTTAAGAAACTAATGGTCAAGAAGAGCACTTAAAAAAAGTAGTGGGACATATACCACAGGTTGAACTCAGAAGACATCTCAGTGGGTTATGGAGTAGCAAGTCTTTGAAATGTTTTAAATATTTTAAGCCTGCCATAAATGATAGAAAAGAGAAAGCTTGGTAAATAAGAGCTCCTGTCTTGAGAAAAAAAAAATTGGTTTTGTTTGGCATGGTGGGACCCATATTTTTTGAGAACCTGAGTGGTGGGATCTGAATGAATAAATCTGTTTTTGGAAAATATACAACAAACAAAAGAATATCAGGCAGATCCTCCACCGCTGGAAAGCCAAAAGATATACGTTTAGAATCTTAGAGACGTTTTAAAAGTTTCAGAGGGATAATTCGAGAGAGGTGCACGAGAAGATACATAAGCGAGAGACGGAAAAAGCGAGTCCTGAAAAATACACAGCTTAAAACAGGAGAGAAGGCCATACACTTGTTGCAAACAGGTTCATTCGAATTGCAGCTGGGATGACTCATTGTGATTGTTACGGGGTTTTTTTTGTCTCACTATGTAAACGCAACGTTTACAAAAGTTGCATTTGCCAAGAGGAGTGGCAGTGGGCGAAAGCGAGTCTGGTTTGATAAAGATTAATTTTAAAATTAATTTTGGCAGGAAAGTCCATTCGATAGAAAAACTATAAACGGGAGGGAGGGAGGACGAAGAAATGGGGCGGCCTACCTTTCAATGAAGTAGGGAGCAGTACGTAAGGCGAATTAGGGCTGCCTGGCTTTCAATTAAATAGGGGGCGGTAAGGCGCTGCGCCGGATTATACAGGAGGGATCGCTCTGACAACCGCTGGGCTCGCCTGGCTAAAGAAGCCGGGCGGGCCCCTGGGACCTCCGCTGCAACACAAGAGGAGTTCTTATCAAGGGCGGAAGTGAACGATCCGGAGGTTTGACTTTTCGGTGGAGTCCGGGAGAAGTTTGTGGGTCGCGCGTTTCAGTAGGTGGGGTGAGCCCGGCGGGAGCCTTGCGCGGCAGCAGTTAACCAACCAGGATGAGTTCAAAAGTTTGGCAGCGAGTTGGGAGGGGTTGCGGGAGGAGGGGGTTGAGAAGCCGTTAATTTGCCACAGGAGCGGATTTAGAGCGGCGGCAGGCCTCGGGGGTGGTGGTGGAGGGGGGGGAGCAGCCGTCTCCCCCAGGGAATAGGCTGCCAATCGTAAGGCTTCGGCGGCTCGGAGCCTCTGGGCGGAAAGGGAGGGTCGATCTGAGAGGGAGCTGATTTCCTCCTAGCGCACGAACCAGACCGCGGGGTCCAGCAGCGGGAGGTCGGAAGGGTCCCGCGCAAGGCAGGGGGACCGCCACCTATAACCGCCAGCAGAGGCCTAGGGAGCGCGGGCGCCCCACGATCGCCTACCTTCCGCGCGCGAGCGAAGCAGGGAGGGAACGGCCGGCGGGCTCTGGTGGACGGGACCGGGGCTTGGCCAGCCGCCTCAGCCGGAGGACGCCACCCGGGGGCTTCCTCCCGCGCGGGGGAGCGCTCGGAGTTGGCTGACTCCCCTCCTCGTCCTCCCCGCCCCATGTCTCTGCCTGTGGTGCTGCCGGGCTCCTGCTGTCCCATGGCGCGGCTCTCGGCGGTCTCTGAGGTGGGCAGACCTTGCTCAGCGGGAGCTGCTGTTGCTGCCGCCGCCGCCGCCGTCGTCCCGAACCCTCCTCAGCCGCCGCCTCGCCGGCTCCGCTGGTCCAGCTCCGGCTTCCGCCAGCCCCGGCCAGCCTCCCTGTCCCCCGTGGCTTCCCGTCAAATCGGGGCCTCGTCCGCTGCCGGCCCGGGCCCGCTGCCGGCCAGACCGCTGCTGTCCCTGGGGCTGCTGCAGTTGATTTTGGGATGCAGCATGGTGGCCCTAAGCTTCGGGGCGCTCTCCCTCACCAACTCTAAGCAGGTGAAGAACTCCTGTCCCTTCTGGGCCGGCTCCTCGGTAAGTGGCCCCTGGCCGGGCCCTTTTCTCGCGTCTGCGGTTGTGTTTTCTAGCGTAGCAGCTGCCGTATCTTGGGCCACCTACCTGCTGGCTCTTCTTAGTTTCCGTCCTCCTCCTTTTAAAAAACAGACGTTAGGCTTGGCAGTGTCCCCTGTGTATTGAGGCTCACAACAACCCTGCAAGGTTGGACGGTACAGAATGGGCGTTCCACTTTTCCCGGGGCCAGTTGCGAACAGGAATCGTGATTTTAATTGGGTTGGCTAAAACTTGGATTGGGGGATGGGAAGCTGGAACGGCGTGGCTAACCGTTGAGGTTAGGACTGCCATATATGGGCTACAAAAATTTGGAATCCCTTTGCTGGCATCCAACATGTGTTGTGTTTCGGATTTTGATAGCCCAAATCCTGTAGCCCCAATTAAGGTTGATTTCAACCTGTGGCGTTTATTTGATGGCATTATATTTAGGAAGCTCCCAGTAGTTGACTTAGTATATTAATGAAATAACTTTAAAATGAAAAAATGTAGGAATTGTAATGTTTCCTTTCTTTACTTCTGAACGTTTTATATTAATAATGCAAATAAAAGACATTTAGTAATCTTTGGCTGTGTTCCAGTGCTGTCCCTGCACTTTGAAAAGCATGGTTGATGTGAAAAAATAGAGCCAACTATAATAGTGAACAAGGTTCCAGATAATAATGCTCGTTTATTATTCATCATGCCTTGTGAAATTGCTGTTAAGGATAATTGCTTAATATAGATGTGTTGTAACTATTTTCATACTTTAAGTCTCCCCTATAATGTGGTGAGGTATTGTCTTTAATAAAAGGCTTCCTGTTATATGTCTTTGCAAAGTCAGCTAAATGCATTCATAAAAGCAAGTGTTACTTGCTATGGATTTTGCTTTCATTCATGGATTGATCTTTTGCCTCATTCTGCATCTAAATCTAAATCTCATTCTCTGAAGGGTTACAGACTTTCTGAATAGCAGATATTGTCCCAACCACTGAGAAAGGAAGCAAAACCTGTTAAATTACATTTAGAAAAATATATGCAGAAGTAACTATATCTCCTAAATTTTCAAAATTATGTGCCTACATTAATATACGGTAATACATTTGTAGCTTTATGAGATTCCTAAGTAGATGTCCCTTTTCCCTGATATAATTGGTAATATATTTTTTTTGTGAAAAGATATCCAATCATAAATGTCTTGCAGGCTACATAGATATTGGAGAATCAAGTTCTCCTGATTTTAATTTAAAGATGAGTGTATCTCAAAGAATTTGGAGTTAGTAAATTATTTAATATTTGTGGGCAATAAAATCGTTGTGTCTTGAAAGTACACAATGATTAGGCAGTATTGATATGATTATAGGCCAGAATTCTTCTTTCTAAATATATAATGAATAATATTGCAAAGCTTAATTTCAAATTCCAGTTTAGTGTATATTAACAAGCAACAACTTTATATATTTTTATTGTGTTGCAATAAATATAGGAATCTGTTTCTGTAGACATAAGTGGAAAGAAGAGAGTAATCAGAATCTTGTAATTTGCTTTCTAGATTCTTTATTTTTTCTCACCTTTCTTACTTTGCATATATTTTTGACTATTTTGCTGCATCTGTACTAGCAAGTCAAACCCCGTGTAAATGCTGTTCTGTCTCCTTTATGATGCTAACTGCCAACTGAGATCTGTCATCCTTAATAGATTAATCACAGTTGTTCACATCCTTTAAACTATCTTGATAGCTGCTTGTGAATTGCCCACATGATGCAGTCTTTGTATGTGTGGAAAATGACATGTTTTTAATTTTAAACACCTTTTCTTGACTAATTACCAAGGAAAATAATTGTAGTACCATATTTATATTAGCATCTGTCTATTTAAATATTTACATTTGAAAGTAATGTAAAAATTAAACTTTTTAATATTTTGCATAACTTGCATTACTTTGTTCACGACAGCTTAAATGTAAATGTAGATAATTCCAGATATAGACCCATTAATTTTCTAGTTTAAAAAAGGAGCAAAAGAATATGCAAATAACCCAATCAAATTTTAAATCTTGCTTAAAATTTTAAGAAAAATAATAGACCAACACGTAGAAAGAGTAATGTCATACAAGTCAACTTGCAAACTTTTGTTTGATGACTGTTCAAAGTTATAGTGGCACTGAAAAAAACTGATTTATGACTGTTTTTCACACTTATGACCATTGCAGCATTCCCATGATCAATAAGTATCAAAAATTAGACACTTGGCAACTGGCATGTATTTACAATGGCTGCAGTGTCCCAGGATCATGTGATCACCTTTTGTAACTTTCTGACAAGCAAAGTCAATGGGGAAGCCAGATTCACTTAACTCTGTTGCTAACTTAACAACTGCAGTGATTCACTTTACAACTATGATAACAAAGGTTGTAAACTGGGGAAAGTGTCTTAACTGTCTTGCTTAGCAGTGGAAATTTTGGACTCAGTTGTGATCATAAGTTGAGAACTACCTGTCTGGTGAAATAAACTTCATAACAGGTAGAGGGATGTAGGATCACATAGTTGGCTTACATTGTTTTAAAATGATTCAGAGGAGGAAACTTTGTAGAAGCACAGTATGATTTTCTTCCAGGTTTCCTGGTGAATCTGAAAAAAGATGCTGCTGCTTTAAGGGTTGCATTAAAAACACTGATCTGCTGAACCACTGACATTTTTTTTTCTTGTCCTCAGTCTTGCCTCTGGGTAGAAGCTGTTGGTGTGACCCTGTAGGTTGAGGCTGTGAGATGACAGCAGGGAATAGGGCATTAGTGAAAAAGGATTTGTAATTGCTAATACTGGGAGAGAAAGAAATATCAGTACTGGCCTAGTGAAAAGATACAGGAACCAACCCAAATTAGCTGGTGCTATTCTTTCTAATTTCCCTTCTACGCCAATCTAGTATTTCTCTCCATCTCATCCCAGGTAGTGAAAGACTTTCATTCAGCATCTGTTCTTGGGGAAAAGCTGTTCATATCGTAGATTCCTTGCAGTAACTGCAGCATCTCCCAGGATATGTAGTCCATAGGTCCAAAACTATTGGAAGACCTATGATTTGTACCAGAAAACCCTTTAGAGGAAGTCCTTGACTTATGACTGGTTGCTTAGCAACCAAAGTTACACAGACCTATCACGGCACATAATCTTGGACTCAAAGTTATGATGGTTATCCCTTCTCCTGTGGAAAGCAAAGAAGGGATCTGCAATAAATCTTCATGCCGTGATTAAAAGGTCCCTTGGCTATGTGTTTCTCACAGATAAACATAAAACATCTAGACAAATAGATATGAGTATTAATTTCCTATTAAAGCTAACTGCAAGCTAAGGTTTTTTTTTCTCAATCCTCATTTCAAGTTCCTTTTTTCCTCCTTAGTAATATTCCAAAAAGGAAAGTAATAGGTTTAACACTGCCTCTTATACAGTGTTACCTTAGTACAGTTATCTTTTTAAAACACGTGGATTTAGTTCTTTCTTACCAGTCTCATTCCAGTGGCTTTTAAGCACTTTATATGAGGAAAAGAGTTACTTTCAGAAGCCCTAATAACCTTCCAAAGGTTATTTTATTATTTAATTAAGACCTCTTGTACTATTTCAAAAATTGGATACCACAGTTGAATAGATATTTTTCCAATATATTAAAATTTTTAAGCCTGTGTTTCATTTTAAATCTACATTAAGAGAAGTATTTAACACTTGCTGCAAGAATGAAATTTTGCTGAATTATCTTTATCATGTAAAGTCATGAGTAATATTCACTCAATCCTTCTTTGTTTTATTGTTGCAGGTCATTTTATCAGGGATTATAGGATTAACAATATGGAAGAGACCTATGATAATTTTGGTATGTGTTGATTAATATGATGATTCTGATTAACTGTTATAAGCAGAGAATAACACACTTTTTAATGGAATAGCATGACTGTTAAAAAGAAATCCTGCTGTCCTCATGTAAATAGATGTCTCTTAAGGCAACATTTTCTCATTCTTAATGAAATTATATTTCAGTTACACAGAATGTGTAACTGATAATAATTATGTTTTCACACATACATACTTTACTCCAGATTGGAAGAACTGATTCTGAGACAGTTCTCAATAAATTTAAATTTCTCAATAAAAGTCTCAATAAATTTAAATTTCTAAGTTAGTATAACTTGTATTTAAGCTTTGAAGACAACAGCTGCTTTCTAAACTTTTTTTTTGCTACATGAAACAGTTAATTCATTAAGTCCCACATAAGTATGAAGAGTTTCTTAATGTAATTGTTATTTGGATTCTATAAGGTAGTGATGATGCTTTATTAAATTTGTATTCTGCCCTTCTCTCAACAACTCTTGATGGCTTGCAATCAAACAAATTACAATAAAATCAAGTGAAGGTTAAAAATAAAGATAAAAGATGGCAAGCACAAAGATGTGAGGGGTCTCACTCTCCCTTACTGACAGCTTGGGTGAAGAGCCAGGTTTTCTAAATAACAACAGAGTGAGGGCCGTCCAGATCTCAAACCTTGTTCCAGATGGTAGGCGTTGCTACAGAGCAGGCATGCTGTCAGGATCCTGAAAGCTGACATTATCTAATCAAAAGAAGCCAGAATGTGCCAACCCTTAGGACCAAATTATCTAAGCAGATGCTAGAAGATAGACAGTCCTTTAAGTAACCAGGCCTTATACCTTGTAAGACTTTATAAATAACTACCAGCAACTTGAATTGCACTCTGAAGCAAACTGGGAACAAGTGCAGCTCACAAAGCAGAGCTAGTATTGCTGACTAGTTAAAGAGGTGGTTATCAAGGACAGGCACATCCAGAGAACATTGCAGAAATCAAGCCACAAAGTTACCAGGACATGGATTACTGTTTGAAGGGCCTCCCAATCAAGGAAAAGATGTAATTTGCCTTCCTACCCCTGGTGACACTTCTTCAAGCAGGAACTGTTAAGTCCAAGAAGACTCACCTTCACCCCCCAGATTGCATGCCAGTTTAGAAGGGGGAAGTGCTATCTGAATCAAAGTCAAAGATTGAATATTCTCAGATATTCCCCAAATCCAAATAGCCTCTGTCACTTTGTGTTGGTAGGAATCAGTTAGAGTATCCAGCTTTCATGCCCTGGAGCGGAACCTTAATTAGCCGGCTGGCCTAGAGTCAAAATATAATTGGGTTACCCTAAACAGAGCTGCTGGGTTACTATTAGTGGATGCAATAAGGATGGAGAAATATTAATGTTTTGCTGTCTGTATCACCAGGAGGCAATTCCTAATGTGGGCTTTTATCTATTCTAGTCAGACTACTACTAGTTTTCCTCCAACAGCACTCCAGGAGAGGTGTGACAGTATCAGATAATTTCTGACTTTATTCCAGAAAGTATTTTCCTTTTGGATGTATGCATTATTGTTATACTTGTATAGTGCTACATACTTTATTTTTAAAAAAATATATTTTATTGATTTTTAACATAATCAACAATATTTGGTAAACAACATGTTGTCTTGGTTAGTATTTAAAAAAAATCAGTAACAATTAATTTCTATAATTCTATAGCCCAGGTAATGGCTTTGCTTGATTTTCTCTTCTTCCAATAATATTCTCTTTTGCCAACCTTAAATTAATACATTTCTTATTATTTGAATAAATGACATTTTTCTCATGTTTCTGCAAATAATAACCACATCAATATAAAGCTTCTTTTCTGATTGATCATCTTGATTGCCTCATCATAGATCCTGTTTACAAAATTCTTATTTACATTTGTCTTCCCCACAATATTCAAAGCATTCTTACTGGTTAAGATTTTCTCAAAATTAGTTACACTTAAGTATTTAAGTCTTTTTTCTCATACAGGCCATCCCAACACTTTTATATTTCTCATATCTTAAAAAAAATTTCTTTTATATAAACCATCCCAACATTTTTATATTTCTCATATCAAAAAACAAAACACAGAAGAAAAAAGAAAGAAAAAATACTGTATTATTTTAGGGGTTCATCCTTCATAAACTAATCTTCAATTATATCCAAAATCTTTCTATTTCTTTAACCACATTCAAACAGATGTTTAATTTTTCAATATTCCCTCTGGTAAATCCCATCATCTAATTTCTTAATTCTCACTTTAGCCTTTTTTTTTTTGCCAAACATCTTTCCTGATCAATATGCTTTGCTATATCAAAGAATCTTCCCATAATCTTGTAAATATTGTTGCAGGTACAAAAGACAAAATAGGTACAATGTTTTTATAGGAAGGTTTCACCCCTTCAAATTGATTGAGAATCTTTTCCTTCCTTCCTTTCTTGATTTTATTTATCATTTTTGTCTCTCAAGTTCTCGTAGTTCTCCAGGCAGATTCCATTTTGTCAAATCTTTTTTCTTGTCCTCAAAACTTATTTTGTGATCTTAGAGTATAGGTTATCTTTTCCATGTCCAATATTTCCTGTAAGTTTTTTTTCATCTGGGTTAAGTCATACTTCTTTTTATTGTTAAGATCCATCATAAATCTCTCTCCACTCTCTTGTATTCAGTTGTCTGTTTTTTCTGCTCACTCTCTATTTTTATTTTCTTTGAGAATTTTTGTATTGTAAAGTTATATTGGAGATGTGTTCATTTATATTTTCAAAGTTATTTTTAATTTTCTTGTGGTTTGAGATCATTGTTGTTTGTTGTATTTGTTGCAACATAGCATAGACCTCCTTCTGGAAAGTATTTGTTTTTTTCTTGTTATATTCTTTCTGCAGATCTCTGGTTTTCCATGATAGCCAAAAATCAGAGTTTTCCTTTCTCTGCAGATAGCTTTAGAGTCACAGTTGAGTTGGTATTTATAATTCAGAAAGATAATTTTTTTTCTAAAGTTTATAATTCTCACTTTATAAATAGCCCAAATGTTCTCTTTTTTTTCCTTCTCGCGGTTGTTCTGTGTTATTAAGACATTAAAAGTCACCAAAAACAAATTATCTTTACCAGCTCCTGTAATAGAGCAACTGCCGTTGTACATATTCATCCACCACTAGGTGTCAGCACCAGTTCATTTTTCAGTAATAGACAATTGTTTACTTCTATTATTTACTTCTATTTTCGTGGTTTCAAAGGAAAATCTTAACAGTTTCCACCAATTTCAAACTTATCCAAATTAGGTCTTATATTCATTTCATTTCAGTATATTTGTGTTCCTCCTGAAAAGTTTAATTCGCTGCTTCTGTCTATAGGAGGGTGGGGCAGATCTCCCTCCTTCTCACTTTCAGAGGCTTTTTGCTTCTTGGGATTTTTCTTTTTTTCCAGGAAATCAATTTTTAAGTAGAAGAGAGAAAATCACTATTCTTACCCAGTTCCAAACCTATTGTTTATAGTCAGCTTAGAATAGTGCTTTTGGTCTTTGGCTGCTTGTAGCTTGGGCTAGACTCTGAAGTTAAGCTAGCCTTTCTCCAGCTGATTTCTGGAGAGCTTTTCCCAAACCGATCGGATCGACCACCGTCTCTCTGCAATCAGAGGGACTTCTTTCCTTCTTTGTTGCCTCTACAGGGCAACTTTAGGCCCATTTAGGGTCCCTTAGCAGACAGAAATTGGCCATAGGGTTCGGAGCCTCGCGATCCCTCGGCGGCTGAGCTACTGCACAAAACCAGAAGCCTGTATAGTGCCACTCATTTTAGCAAATTGGCAATGTTAGATGTTTTATAGCAAAATGATCAATTTATCAAAATAGCATATTCTTACAATATCCTCTGGGATACCACATTTTAATATTTGACTTGTTGCACAGAAAGATAAGCAATGAAATGATATACCTATTTTCCCCCAGGGTCAGAGGGAAAGAGTGCAAGAATCTTTCATTTTATTTTTAAGATAAAATAGTAAATAAAGCAGAAACTAGATAGAATGGGAAGAGAATAATTTCTTATCTTCAAACTATGGGATCCATACTTAGCTATAATGTTAAAATGGAATTTAGGGCTGCAGGCATACGGTTAGCCTATAGAAGATACTATGATGTTTTTAGAATATATCTAGTTCTCTCGAAAAGGCACTTGGGATAAAGAAATTATGTTTGTTATCCCACTTTTTGGCATACAAAACCTAGCTAATACTTGAAATATTTATCAGAAGAAGGATCAGGTTGTAAAGCAGTAAAATCTAGTTTGTGTAGTGCCATAAAGTGAATATATATCAGTAGGAATATCTGAATTTGAAGAGTATCATACAATTTTAAAAACAACAACAAATAAATAATTATTCAAATCCTGTCTGAGATACTAACTTGCCTTAATGAGGTAGACCAGACATGTCAAACACAGGGCCCGGGGGCTGGATGTGGCCCGCAAAGTGGTTTCATGTGGCCCGCAAAGCTATCCTGGAAGCAGGGAATGGCCCCTGCTGCCTTGTCCCTGGCCCAGGCCGGCCGGGAGCCAATGTACAATTTTGTGGTAGCCATCTATGCTGAAACGCATTCAGTCTTAGCTCCACAAGGCCGTCTAGAAACAGCGAGGAACAAGCCCCTGCCGCGTCGGCTCCACCCCCTGGGTGCATGCTGGGGAAGTGTCACCCTTTGTGAGGAATGAAGAAATGGACCATGCCTTGGTGCTTGCCCCAGTCCCACCCCCTTCTGCCAGAGACCCTCAGGTCTGTCCCACTCCTGCCCAGGCACCCTTGATGTGAACGATGTAGAGCTGGCCATGCCCACCCAGTAGGCTGCATCCACTCCATGCCCACCCAGTATGCCGCACCCACTCTGACCACACCCACCGGGCCCCCAGAGGGCAACCGCAATGCTGATGCGGCCCTCAATGAAATTGAGTTTGACACCCCTGAGGTAGACAATAAGCATAATTACAATAATTCACAATAATTATGAATAAATAACATTTTGCTATTGATATATTATTATTGCTAAATATAAAAAAGCTTTCTCCATTGGAAACCTGTCAGGTTCTAATGCGGTAATGTTCAGTTTTATAATTTCTATAACCATAACCATAGTTAAAAAGGTTTCTTAAGTATTTCAGCTCTTAAAGAAATATTGCATTAATATAATATTGATTACTGGAATACTTCCTTAAGTTATTCTTTTACTATATATAATACAATACTTCTTGTGTATGATATATATTTATGTAAATATATACTTTGCTTTGAAAATATTTTTAACCATAATATGTATAAAGGTTTTTTAAAAATACAGCATGAATAAATATAGGCAATAAATAAAGGATTTGAAAATTCAAAATATACAATGATAAATTATCTCTACCATTTTTTTAAAATGGTCTCAAAGGAGTCTTGGGAGTAATAAAAGTATAGGACTTAACATCTTACATCCTGTACATCCACTACTTCTTATTTTTAATCTGAGTTTTCTTTGTTTGCAGTTCTTAAACAGTTATTTTCACATTCTCTGTATTAAAAGGAAGTGGTCTGTATCATTTCAAAGTTGGAATAACACCTCACTTCAAAAATAATTTAGAACACCTATGATTGGATTCCATGGCAAGAAAAAAGATCCATAGATCTTAAATTTAATTCTCTTTCCCATTATCTCAGCAGATTGCTGGCCTTGTCTGAATTTGGAAGCTAAACAATATTGTTGTATTTATTGGCTAATACTTGGAACTGAGATTAGGGCCCCTCATAAATGTATTGCAAATGAAATTTATGTTCATTTTCTCTTGTACATTTGAGCCCAATATAGCCTATTTATCCAGCTAATTGTGGGAAATTAACCTATGCATATTCAGATCCACGTGCATTGGCTGTATGTGAAAATTTTCCTCATGATAGGATATATATTGAATATTAAAGAAGCTAACATGCTTGAATGTTGTCATTCACTGTGGAATTTTTATTTCTTCTAGGTTAACTTGTTTGTTTTACTGTCTGTTATTTGTGTTCTCTTGAATCTGGCGGGCTTTATCCTTGGATGCCAAGGTGCTCAATTTGTGTCCAGTGTCCCTAGGTGTGATCTGGTGAGGAGATATTTATGTTTAAAGTACCGTATATATTCAGGGTATAACAAATAACAATAATTGTAATGTCCCATACTTAATTAACTAATTATTACTATTCTGCATTAGAACACAGTGTGGCATAAACGAAATAATATCTGTAACCCTAATATCAAATGTATGAATCTGTGATTTTGTTCAGATCAAATACTACATTCTTATATAGGTTTTTGAGAATCTAAGGTTTAAATAGAAATCTATGAAATTTCTTTAATCTACATTAATGAACAGATAATAGATAAAGCAATAATATATTTTATTGTTCCACATTGCAATTCCTTAACAACATTGTATGTGTCTTATCACATTAAATTGTATTTTGCATTATGGATTGTTAACCTTTTGATTTAATTTTGATAACATTTTGGTGTTGCTCTATATCAGGCATGTCAAACTGCTGGCCCACGGGCCGGATGCATCATGCTGAAATTGTGCCCACCCCATTGCCGGCAATGAGGAAAAAGTTGTGATACATCACGTGACATCACATGACATCGCAAGTTTGACATGCCTGCTCTATATAAACATTACTTTCAAATTACTAATTCAAATGCTTACTTTTCTCAATATTAAAGGTAGATGTTGCTGAAAATAAAATTTGTTTCTGCTGTGAAGAATTTATGCCAGCAAAATGCACCGAGAAAGAAAATGCATTGCAGTTGTATGCAATCCAGTCATGCAGTTCAGTTCACCTTCTACTCAAAGTAAGGTTACTAATACTGATGGTAATGGTTGTAAATAAACTGCTATAAATAGAAACATGATTAAGAATAATATTGATTTCTTTCCAATTCAGATCTTCCAAACTTTTTATTGCCTTTTTATTTTTATTGCCTGTAGGAGGAAGTTACTAAGGAAAAAAAGACAACATATAACCTTATTTGACCATATTTTATCATGTCAGGGACCATATGTAGGGCTTGTTGACTTTATCAGCGTGCACGTTCTGCATGAAGAAGGGAAAGTTAGAGGTGTATAAATAAAGTAAGAGTGTTCTTTATAGAACTCATGTTTTTTTTTTAAAAATTATTAATTAAATGCTCTGCTCCTCCATCCTTTCACACTTTACAAAATGAGACTGTATGTAAACGCAATCATATATCTGCATCTGGAAATATGACAGTGTATGGTAAAGTTGGAATGCATAACTTTGTCTCCTGGGACTGATGTTCATGTTATAATGATGTTCGCATTTTCACTTGAGTGCAATATTTATTTTCCTCCAATAGCCATTAGAAATGTGGATCCAGGTCACAACTTTGGTGTGGATGATAGGGAGTCACTATTGTAACCTGCCCGAGATCCAGCCTTTCTTTCAATATCTTTAACAAGAGCTTACCACTTCTCAAGGCAATCTGTTGGGAAGTGTTCTTACCTTTAAGATTTTTTTCCTGATGTTCATCCATTTTTCATTTTCTTGTAATTTAAACCTGTTCTTTCTTAGGCTGATTTCTGCAACATTTCCAAATAGTTCTGCCCCATCCTCTACATGCCAACCATTGGACTACTTGAGAGCAACTGTCATATCTCCCCACAGTCTTCTCTTCTCCAAGATGACCATGCCCAGTATCTCTAGACATTGTTTGTAAGTTTACCTTCCAGATCCCTTGTCATCTTGTTTACTCTTCTTTAAGTGTATATCCCAGTTTCTTAGTGCTGTTCCTAAAATGCATTGCCTACAACTGTACACAATTTCCTATATATAGACTGATTAATGCAGAATAGAGAGAAATAGTGACTTATTTTGATCTTGATACTACACTTTTTTTTGAGGATTGCATTTATTGTTTCTACTGTTAACTAGAAGAAAGACCACCAAGACATCTGGATCTTTTTTTGCGCTGTATATCCAGATTCATGCTTTGATGTTTTTTTTCTGTCTAAATATAAGATGTTGCATTTGTCGCTGCTGAAATACTAGCCTCTGCCCACTTTTCCAGTCTCTCAGGATTATTAGAGATCCTGATGATGTCCTTTTTCTGTCTTATGAAAATTTGATAATCATGTTTTCTAACCATCCATTGAAATAAATATAAATACATTGAATGGCACAGTGCTCAGAATAGGTCTCTCAATACTTCCCTCCAGCTTGTCATGGAGCCATTGGTGATATACTTACACACTAGAATTTCATGCAAATCATTGGATTTTTTTCCTTTAGTTGAGGTACATAATTTCCATTGCATTCCTTTAGCCAACTAAACTGGCCACTCTGTTAAATGTAATAATTTGTAGAAGATTGGATTACATGATGAGCACTTGTACTTTTAAGTATATAATTTTTGAGAAATCCCCAACCTTCCTATGCTTCCCTTGATTAAATATTTCTGTCCATAGGATTCTACCTAATATTTCTCTATTGAAATGTGTTCTCTTGAATCTTATGTGCATGGCCAGCGATGCCTCAATTTTTCTTGAGCCCCAAGACGGCATGGTCACTTTCAAAGTACTCTCTGCTTGGACCTTTTTCTAACCAGCTTTTTTGTTAGGGTCAAATAGAGAAAACTGATCTGGTTTATGAAGATATTATTCAGATCTTCTTTCCGACTTGGTGATTGACAGTTTTCCCACCACCCCCAGCTAAATCCTCCCAGTAATATCTTGATTTCCCTTGTCTTGAATTTTTATCCACATGATCTTCATTGGACATCTGCTCAGATTTCTGGCTTCAATATATGTGTGCACTTCCTTCACATACAAGGCAGTTCCCCCACTTTTATTTGACCATTGGTATCTGCAGGAAGTAGATAACATCACAATGCATAGTCAATTATTTTTTGTCATCTTGGTTTGTAACAGATACCTTTGGATCTGGCTTGTTGCTTTAAAATATGTGACATTCTTCAGTCTTTGTGTTCCATTCAGGCTTGTCCTATTCACTTTCCATAATGCTTATTAAATAATATTCTCCTATTAAGATTTCTAGTTCTTCCTATTATTCCCCATACTCAGTATATTTGTATAGTGAATCAGGATCCCTTATGTCATGGCCTTGACCTAGCCATAAGCTTAATTCCACACAATAGATGGTGTAAAGTTCCAATTCTATATCCACACTACAGTGATGGGCTAAGATTTAAAATTCCTTTACCTTAGTGTTAAATCTCCATCTAGATGGGCTTTCAGCCTGGCTATCTGTGTGAAAAGAAACATCTTGCATTCCGGGCCAAACAGTGTGAAAAATATAACTTGTAGCATGGCTCGTTAAAAAGGGTTAACTTATTGCTTTGGTTCTCTTAGAAGCAGACAGAAGTTATTTGGTAAGATTTACAAAACAACATTATCTGAAGATCCACCAGAGATATTAAAACATGCTTGCAAATCTGTAGAAGCGATCATAATCTCTAATAAGCATTAAAAACTTATATTTAATAATAAATAATATTTTTGCTAATATTTCTAATCTCTTTGTGGATTAGGTTATTGGTAAATTGAATTTAAAAAAAATGTATAAACTGCATAGAGCAGTGTTTCCCAAACTTGTCAATTTTAAGGCATGAGGACTTCAACTCCCAGAATTCCACAGCCAGCAACGCTGGCTGTGGAATTCTGAGAGTTGAAGTCCACATGCCTTAAAATTGTCAAGTTTGGGAAACACTGGCATAGAGGAAAGGTATCAGAGAAGACGATTTAGGAAGAGAGCCATGTTAGCTTACGGTGGCAGCAAATCAGGAGTCTGGTAGCTCTAGCAAGTGTTATTAAAAGAGATGAGCTTTCGTGAGCTGCAGCTTACTTCATGAGATAAATAGAGTGGCTAGACTTAAATTTAGATTTAAACTGGAGGGAGAAGAAGTGAGGAAATATGCTGGTTATGCAAATGTGGGTTACATGAATAGAATCCTAGGGTGTATGAGCAAATTTACAAGGTTGCTAGTATGATATACAGTGACTTTCTATGGCACGATTGTTAGATTTGTATACAGCATAGTTTTTAGGTGGCAAAAAGGCATCTGCTTAAAAGTTAACCGAATTTTGTTCTTGGAAATCAAAAGACTTAATGGGCATCCTTTTAAACATATGTGGCAAATCACAATTGCAGCAATTCTTTTCCATTTTTTGTGCTTCAGAAAGTTCTCTTTGCTCTCTGTGCTCTGAATGCCTTGACAACCACTGTTTGTTTGGTAGCTGCTGCCCTACGTTACCTGCAGATATTTGCAACAAGAAGATCCTGCAGAGTAAGTGAGTGCAGGACACAATTTCATTTTTAAAAAATAGATCTAGAAAGAAGTTGCTCTTCTGTTCCTGCTATAAGTGTGTTTTACAGAATTGTATCTTGTTAGGAAGAACAGCAAGTTTATACAGAGGAAGTCGAAGAAGATGGTCCTGCTTCTGATCCCGAGGATTTTGTGCCACCAGCCCCACCTCCGTCATATTTTGATACATTCTATTCTTCCACACCACGAGGCAATCGCAGGTGAAGCAACTTGCTCCTGATATTCTGAGACTTGCCAACTGATTTAACCAAACCTCAGTTTACGACCATAACGGAACTTACCCTTTAAGATCACAAGTAATGACAGTTGTTAAGTGAGATTACTTCATTTAACAACTGCTCACCCTTGCTTTCCTTGAAGTGCTGGTTAAATGGAGCATGGGATGTTCTGCTTAGGTCATTAAATGGAGCACAGTTACCTCAGGTGGAGGAGACCCTGAGATGTCCTGGGCTTCCCAAGACCTGCCACAACCCCTGAGACACCCAGTATTCTGCATCCCACCCCTCAGAATCCCCACAGTCCTTGGCGTTGCTTTCGTCCACACATACACCGGGTCCTCATAGGGGGCACTTTTTTTCAGTGCCATTGTAACTTTGAACAGTCAGTAAGCGAACTGTTGTAAGTCGAGGATTACCTGTACTTGATTTTTTTTTCTTTTTCCTTTTGGATCGTCAAGTTTTTGACACCTTGCTAGGCGACTGGTGGTACTCGGATATTGCCATATCCTAAAAGTGGTACAATGGGTGAAAAGGTTGAAAAGCCCTGATATAGAGGAGAGTTGAGCAAAATGGTTGAGAGGTTGACCTTCAAATGCCTGTTTGAAAATAAAGCATAGATTACTGCAGTGCTAGGCTTTTTATTCTAATATGCTAATGATTATAAGAATGGCAGAGACAGCTAAAATGTATTATCTTCAATTAGCTGAACACATGGAATAGTTAGATAAGGAACATTTAGATGAATCCCCTCATGCATTTAGTGAATGTGCCGGAAAGATAAAGGGAAGATCATTGCTATCTGTGATGTCTCTGGACAATCATACATTTAACATTTGTGTAACAGATACCTTGTACCTGTACTTCTATCAGGTAGTGAGAACTGGCTAACCATGCAGAAACGGAGCTTACAGTCCTTTAAAGCAGTGGCCCCCAACCTTTTGGGCACCAAGGACCGGTTCCGTGGAAGAGGTTTTTCCATAGATTGGAGGGGTGTTTGGTTTCATGTGCTGCCTGCATCCTGTGGATGGGGCTTCATTTGTTTGCCAGTTTCTGGCATGCTGCCTTAAAGGATTTGCCCTTTTTCTTCCCCCTTCAGAAAATGTATGATGTGCAGGAGGGTAATAGCTACAATTGTCTTCATCTCTCTGCTGGGGAAAAAAAGCTAATTGTTCATTACTGTCAGCCAATCTTTAATTATAGTTGTTTCAGAAAAAAGATGGCCATTCTAATGTGCATACATGCTCCCTGCATATCTTGATTTCTCTCTTTGCCTCTACTTGTATTGATGGACACTAGATTCAGAAGGACCCTTTCTATGCAACAGTACTCGCAGTCCTGATCTCTGGGCAAGGAACCTCAATACTCAGACACTCACCAAGGGCAGCTGTCAGTTCTTCTGCAGTTTATATGATTACAATCGGGTCTGTTAAGAGTATTGGAGGAGAAGGACTGGCAGAGCCAGGGGGAGGGATAAAAAGAGGGATCAGTCTAGAATCACTATGTAGCCATAAATGAACTAAGTCCAACTCTCCCCTCCCCTTGACTGCCATTGACTCTTACCTGATTCTAAGCAAGGACTGATCATTAGTTGAGAAGATTCTTGTGCATAGACGTTTAGGAATAAATCAGTTAAATTGTACCTTCACATGAGGACCTATTTTTTTTTGCATCTGAGAAGTATTTGACATTTGGATGTTGAATACTTTAATTGGATTTCATACTTAAAAAGTTTTAGGCCCTTCTTTTTCCCCACAGAAAATAATCCCTGTTTAAATCCTTCTGAATACCCTTTAAAAAAATTATTATCTATATTGTTGGTTTTCTACCAAAGATTGAATTCCATTCTGCTGTCTTTTGGAGCCTGTGCCATCAAAATGTTTTTTAGTTGATGCAAACTCTTTCTTCTAGGATGCTGGGTTCTGATATCATTCCATTACCACACATCTATGGAGCCCGAATTAAAGGTGTTGAAGTTTTCTGCCCTCTTGATCCCCCACCTCCTTACGAAGCTGTGATGAGCCAGATGAGACATGAGCAGGTATTGTCCATGGTATTCTTCCAGCTTAACGCGATTTCACAGGAGTCCATGGTACCCTGTCACATCCTTCAGATGGTTGAATGTGCACTTTTCTGCCACTGAGTAATGTGGAATGCCACTAAGTAGTGTGAAGAAAGTGGAAGCTGTTGAAAGAAATATTTTATACTTGATCTAAGCTTGGGACTCTGTTGCTTTCCCACTTCCTGCTCTTTGTGCCATATAATGTCAAATATCAATTCTGAAGAACTGAAAGTATACACACACAGGTAGTCCTCGATTTACAACCACAATTGAGCCCAACATTTCTGTTGGTAAGCAAAACATTTGTTAAATGAGTTTCGCCCCATTTGATGACCTACCTTGCCACAGTTGTTAAGTGAATCACTACACTTGTTAAATTAGTAATACGGTAGTTAAGTTTATCTGGCTTTCCCATTGACTTTGGTTATGATTACATAATCTCGGGACACTGCAACTGTCATAAATATAAGTCAGTTGCCAGCATCTGAGTTTTGATCACAATAGCATAGGGATGCTGTAATGGTCGTAACTGTGAAAAATGCTTCCCCCCCAGTGGTATTGTAACTTTGAGTGATTGCTAAATGAACTGTTGTAAGTCGAGGACTACCTGTACTGTTTTTGCATTTTTGTTCTAATTAATGTATTTCAAAATCTTGAGTGTTTAAAAATAAGTCCTAAAAGATTATTCTGTTTTAAACTTATTCGATGGTTATCCGAAGCTCTAAAGCTATAAGCTATATTGTTCTGCTCAGTGCATGTATTTATATCTTAAAAATTCTCAGTTTTAACAAGTAATTGTAACATCAAATATAGTTTTCTTCAATCTCAGATCATTTCTGCTTTTAAACCCTCATAAACATGCAAGAGTTTTAAATATTTATAAAGAATGGGAGGAAAACAAGCTTTCAAACCAGAATGCACTTACTTAACTTTTCATCTTACTCATTTATGGCCCTTCTATAAGAATTTGGGAATTCAGAAATTAATGACGGCTAAATGTTTTCATAGGTCTCTGGGTTTTTTTCCCCTTTAGTTGGCATGTCTTATAATCCCATATAAGCCCCAGTCACCCCGTGGAATAAAAAAGTGACCAAGGCCACTGTATAGTTGTATTTAAGTCTCCCACCCCTCCCGTCACTTGAGCTTCTTGGTATATCTCACAGCTGAAGGTAGTGAAAAGTAAATAGGGGAAGTTTCAGGCTAGATTGATTTATATGAGTGACTTTTGGAATTGTTCTATAGAAATGACAAAGTCAGAGTTCTTTTTCATCTCTGTGGATCTCCTCGCTAATGCCCAGTGATTCAACTTTGATCTTTAAGGAAAGTAGCTGTTTTTTCAACAGTTTGCTGTGACACATTTGCAAGGCTGTTTGAAGATAAAAGCTATGTGCAGGGGTAGGCAACCTTGGTTCTTTTATGACTCGTAGACTTCAACTCCCAGAATTCCTGAGCCAGCATGTCTGGCTCAGGAATTCTGGGAGTTGAAGTCCACGAGTCATAAAAGAGCCAAGGTTGCCTACCCTTGGCTATGTGCATCTGGTATGACTTGGACTCCGTGGCTAGTATGGCTGTCTATCCTATCCTATCCTATCCTATCCATTTATCTGTCTATCTAGAAATTTATTTGCTGCCCATCTCCTGGGTGGCTTACAGCATAAAAACATTAAAATCATCAATTATAAGATAACAAAGCAGATAAATTAAAATAATTAATGATGGTGAAGGAGGAGGAGGGAGTCAGATCATGGGGAGGGAGGTGGGATTAAGTTTAAATTAATCAACAACTTCCAGTGTAAGGCTCTCCCATTATGTCCCCAAGCCATCTGGCAGAGCCTGGTCTTAAGACTCTTAGGAAAAGTCAGGAGGGTGGGCTGTTTAACCGATGTCCATCATATTGGCTTATACAATTACTATAGATGAGCTTCTTTTACCTGAGAATGCAGACAAATTTCCTGGACAAGTTAAAAATATATGTTATGCCTGACTTTTTACATGTAATAAAGGGGAATAGTTTGAACGACAGTGCAATATCCCTCCTATTTTCAGATCCTTTTCAATCCAGCTGTATATTTGTCCTTCCACTGGCATCCTTCAGTCTCGAGGGACTACGGTATCGTGCTCTGGAAAGAGGTCCCAAAGCAGCATCTGGTGTGGCTAAAAAGGCCAATTCAAGAATGGCAGTCCCTTCCACACTGAGGGCAGATACAATCTGTTCCCTGTCCAGCCCCCAGATTTCGCTGGTTCTGGGACTGCCTCTTTGCCTCAGCCTGCCACACAAGTGTCTCTTCATATTGGAGAATGCCATGCTGCGTCTTTAGTCTCCAGGTTGAATGATCAGAGGTCAAGGATTCCCAGCTGTTAATGTCCATTCCCAAGGCCTTTAGGTTCCTCTTGCAGATATCCTTATATCGCAGCTCAGGTCTCCCTCTGGGGCGCTTTCCCTGCACTAGTTCTCCATACAGGAGATCTTTCAGAATTCGACCATCAGCCATTCTCACGACATGCCCAAGGCAGTGTAGGCGTCACTGGTTCAATAGGGTATACATGCTAGAGATTCCAGCACATTCCAGGACTGCATTATTTGGGGCTTTGTCATGCCAGGTGATGCCGAGAATACGATGGAGACAGCGCATATGAAAAGTGTTCAGCTTTCTCTCTTGCCATACGTGAAGAGTCCAAGACTCACTGCAGTACAAGATATATATATATATATATAGCTGTATATTTGTCCTTAAGATACGGAATTTGTTGCTGACTTTGCAAATCAGACTTTAAGGTAGAACCAGAAGTGGAAATAATTTCTTCAGTTCTCTTGAACCCCTCAGAACTCTTTAGTGGTATTTAACTATGCTGTTCTCAGCTGTGAGAACTGGAATGTGTTAAACAATGGATCTGTTCCTCTTCCTCTTTCTAAACATTCTGCATCAGAATTTTGTGTCATGGCATTCTTGGCATCTCAGTTTTATCTTCCCACGTTAAGTAACAGCTCCACAAAACCAGTGGGGGGTGAGCTGAGTTACTGTCAATAACCCCCAACTTCAGCTCTTCTTCACATATGCTGAATGGTGTTCAGTGTTTTCTGAGAAGGGCTGCCCTTTGCTTGAAAGATAAAGTCACTTCAGCAACCAGAACCATCTTGAGGCTGACATACCAGATGCATTAGAGACAGCCTGACATCAGTTACATATTCTTTAGTGATCTTACTGTTGGATTACTACAGCGTGTTGTACGTGGTTGTCTTTTTAAAAACAATCTGGAAATTTCAATAGATTCAATCAGTCAATCATTTTTTATTCAGTCATAGCGAATAAAACAAAAAAATCACAATTGAAGTAAAAAGAAAAAAGGTCTAAGAAAAGGTCTACAATTATCTAAGAAGATTAGAAAAGAAACTATAGCGTACAAATTATAGAATAGTACTTAGATGTCAAAAAGTAAAATCAGATTGATATGATAATCACTATGCATAAAATAAATCAGAATGACCAGAATGTTTAATAAAGAATGGAGATAATTATTCCTGGAGAACATTTGTGATTTAGTGGTGTTTCTTTGTAATTCTATTAAACTTTAAAATTAAATTAAATTCTCTAAAGTCAGGAATGTATTTCAATTTCAACATTAATTTACGTAGAAGATTAGTCTGTTAATTTTATATTTAGGAGGATGCATCCAATTCAGCTATTGCAGAAGCTGTAAATGACCCACCTGGACAAAATGATACACAATTGCCACAAGGTAAAAAGAGTTTTTTGAAATATTGTGCTATGAATTAGCAATGAATTACAGATAAATGCAATAATGATTGTTTTCTTATTTGAACTAATTTACTGTATCTCTATAACAACCATCAGCCCTTTTCTTTCTTTCGCTTAAACATTGTAGGAGGAGAACCATGTTAGTCCATGGTAGTAAAAGATCAGGAGGAGTTTGATTTTTGACTAACAAATTATATTTAAAAAAAACCCAAACCTGCAACTCATTTCATCAGATGCATAGAGTAGCTAGACCAGTGGTTCTCAACCTGTGGGTCGGGACCCCATTTGGGATCGAACAACCATTTCACGGGGGTCGCCAAACAACGCAGTCCACCATTTTTTTCCCCCTTTTCCTTAGCTGTGCTATTCCCTTTTATTCTATTGGCTTTTGAAAGCCAATAGAATAGACCCTCTTGAATAGAGTCTAATTCTATTGGCTTTCAAAAGCTAATAGGAATTGTCCAGGCTGTCTCTGCCCTGCTGAGCCCGCCAAAAGTCCCATTCTGCAAACGGTGCTGCACCAGTTGAGTAGTCCTCGACTTACGACCGGTTGAGTAGTCCTTGACTTACGACCGGTTGGGGGTCATGGCATTAAAAAGGTTGAGAACCACTGAGCTAGACTGATATAGGATTTAAACTAGGGTTAGTGGGAAGAGGGGGAATGGAGGTCAGTTAAGTAGATGCAGGGTGCACATAAGACGGATTGTCAGTATTTCATTGGAATGCGTTAATGTGTGTTCTGTCCGTCTGAGATTGCCTGCACCATTGACATAGGTGATTTCAGCATCCTTTCACTCAGTGGAGTAGAGCTGGCAATGCTCCACTGGTTTCTGCATAGGACAAATAGGACAAACTTTGCACAGAAGAATTAATAGACACAAATTTGACATCAGGAAACAAAACAAGGAAAAATAGCATTGAAGCACTTCAGCATTCCAGGACATTGTAAAGTCCTTGAAGTGACCCTTTTGGAATAACAGGACTTTATCTCCACCATTGCTAATGAAATGAGTAAGTCTTACTGTTGAATTTTGGAAGCAACTGAACAGAACTAAAACGTTATTTGTTCTAAAGTCTATTTCATGTTAGTATCATTATTTGAGGAATAAATTTCACAACCTTTTTATGATCTTGTATTAATGGTGCTGCCAAGCTATTGAATTACTTTTGAAAATACACATGTCTAGAGTAGACCATGAACAATAACTTTATTTATTTCCATCTTCCAGTTCTCATAGTTTACAATTTTAAAAAGTACAGAATAAATAATATTAATACATTCAACAGATATTTTAATATGAAAGAGATTTATTGTTAAAATAAATGAAAAGACTTCCAGAATAAAATAATCTTTGGACCCGGTTAGGTCACACCAGACGGAACACATACAGTTCTTATTAGATTCTCCCAGTGAGGGATCCTGGAATCCACAAATATCAAGCTATGTTTTTTATTATTGAACTGAATGTCATATGCATTGCTCTTTATTTGGATGAAGGGAACAACTAGGAGGGTACTCGGAAGAAATTGCCAACAGTAATTTTCCAATAGCTTTGTTTAGATCTGTAAAGTTAACACAAGATACTGTAGATATGCTCTATGTCCTGTGAATACCTGATTCTGAATTTAGTGATTTGATGGATAAGTGGAAAACATCTTGTTTTGAGCTCAACATGATGTTTTGAGTCATTGTACCACTAACTCTTAACATTCTTTATTGATTATTCACCTTCTTTATTCTTCCTTTATCTAGCTGTGTTAGTTCTCTAGCATAAACCTTCTTTATAACCAGTTTTATCATGTGATCCCCTTGAAAGTTGTATTAAAACACAAATTATGATCATTTCATTTGGATCAGAATTTGAGAGACCACAAATAGGCAATGAGCCCTCTTTCAGTATCCAAGTATCTATCACCCAGCTGAAAATTATGAATTTGTGTTCCCTTTACTTTGAAACAAGATACTTCTGAAAAGAGCTTTGGCACCATTCCCCCATTAAAAAAAAATCTGAATTAATTATTTTAAATCTCATGTGGCCTGACCCAGATCCATGTCCTTGTTTTTATCTTGGCAACAACATAGAAGTGGTTTGTCATGAAGCTTGGAAATATTAGTTTTTATATATTCGGAGGACAATAAGAGCAAATGTTTTTCATTTCTGCAAGCTGTTTATGATAATACTGATAATTCCCAGGTGATTAAAGCAAAGCATGTCTTTTTATGTCCATGTATCTATAATGCTGCATACCCAAGTTTACATATGCTTGTGAACATGATGTTAAGATAACACGTCCAGCTTTTTAAGATTTACAGTTTGTTTTCTTTGCTTATGGAAACATAGCTTGCCAAATGTGATATAAGAACTCTGTTAGACACTTGTCATTGGCACACTGGCAATATTTCAGTAATGAGTGCACTACTCTTTTATAATTATTATCTTGCTTAACAGAAACCTTTATTGTAATGGAAAGCTTTATAAGTATTGCTTGGTAACCATTGTTTAACTCTAAATGATTGTAGAGATCTGTTTAAAAGAATTATATTTCCTGATTTTTTTTCTCTCTCCCTGCTTTCTATATTTGTATGTATGTGTGTGTGGAGAGAGAGAGAGACAGAGCACACGTGAGTTCATGCTAACTGAATTTCTTGTTCCTGTCTTTCTTCATTGCAGGAGATGAAAATTCTTTTAATTCTTTGAGTAGAGAGGTCACCTTGTCTCCAGATGCCAGCTTGGTACCTGTGGGGGCTTCTAAGCTATTCAGAAAACGATCAAAAAGCGATCCTGTTCTTCAGGGTTTTCCATTCAGAGGTGACCTGACTCTTCTCCCCTTTCCAGAAAATGTTCTTTATCTCTCTTTTTTTCTGAGACCACAAAATGAAAGAGATTTATTGGCATTAAGATTGTTCCCTCTCAAGTGGCATTGTTGCCTTGGAGCTGCATATTATTCAATGAAAAATGATGGTGGTCTTGTTAGAATCAGGACCATAAAGCCCAGTGAGATTCTCACTTCTGCCAGAGGAGCAGGAGTTACAGTTGTGCACCAGCTCCCCTCCTCACCAATTATTCCAAGGCTGCAAACAGCTACAGGGGAGGGTTTGATTACAGCCAGCAGAACGGAGGCTTAGCTTTGTAGGCATGATGAATTTGTAGATTAGTGGTGCTGGGAGGCTGTTTTCTATATCTGTACCCATTCTCACTCGTCTAAAAGGATCCTTCACTGAGTATTGCTATTCAGCAGCCTTTGCAGAGCCAGGTATGGATAGACAAGTTTCTTACAGTAATTCTGCTAACAAGGCAAAGAACAATAAGGAAGCTTTAGGAAAGCGAAGGGAGCAGTTGCAATGCATCAGCTCACATTTGTGTCTGGATCCCTTTGTACCAACATGAATGTGAATTCTTATCTGTCTCTTTTTTCCCCTCAAATGTATTACTTTTAGAAGTGCAATGTCCCCCTTCCACACACATACGCAAAAACCCAAGAATAGGACATAGGTAAAAATATTTACCAACATTGCAGAATTAACTAAAAAAAAACCAGAAAGACATTAGTAAACCAGCCTGTTGGAAATACAATTTGAAAGTACTAAATAAGTCAGTATTTAAATTGAGTTATTTTGCAGTAATTAACAACCAGAATATCTCAAATTATTGACTTTTTAAATTATAGCACAAACGTTTTGGACGAAAGTGGTGCTGTGAGCTTAGCCTATCTGGATTTTAGCAAAGTGTTTGATAGAGTTCCACATAATGAGCTCATAAAAGAGTTGTACAGGCTAGGGCTTAACAACTGACTGGGTGGTTCAGCGGTTAGGAAGTTGGCTCAGGGATACATGCCAGTTTGTGATTGTTAATGGGGCACTCTCTGAACAGAGACCAGTCACAAGTGGTGTGCCACAAGGCTCAGTCCTAGGTCCTGTTCTATTCAGTGTGTTTGTAAGTGATATAACAGAAGGATTGCTAGTAAGGTTTGTCTTTTTGCTGATGTCACAAAAGAGTGCAATAGGTTGACATTCCTGGGAGTATTTGTAACACAGAAAACAATTTGTCATTGTTGGAAAATTGATCAGAAATGTGAAAAGTGCAGTTCAATGTTCCTGAATGTAAGATCATACACTTATGAGGGGGGGGGGAAATCCTCCGGTAGGGTTTGTGGGTAAAGTGTTATACAGACAGATTTGCCGTATCCATGTTGTGGGGAGTGGTCTTGATAGTTCTTTGTTAGCTTTACTGTTAGTGTGTTTGACAGTTCCTTGACTGGGATCTTGTTTGTTTCTTGATTGTTAATTTAATGTTAATCTTGGTGTTAATCTCTGCTAATTTGGATGTTGATTGCTGGTAAAGTGTGTTTATATCTTTTTGTTTACTTTTGGGCTTGTTGATTGTCTCTTTTGAATGGGATATAGATATTGTTTATGCCTATGTGCCTGTTGATGGCCAATTTAGCAGAGTGCCAGATTTCCAGGAATTCTGTTTTTTAGCTTTGTTTAGGATGGTCACAGTTTCCCTGTAGAAACGATGGTTAAGTCTGACAATGTGTTGTGAAATTAAAGAGTTTTCATCATGTCTTCTAACTGCCAGTTGGTGTTCATGGATGCGCTCTTGCTAGTCTTCTGCTGCCTTACAAAGTGGCTGTTGTAGTCCTTGCTCTAAATATTATAGATGACTCCTGTTTTTCTTCTTGGATTGCTGAGTCTTTTGATTTACTTAAGATGTTTTGGAAGGCTTTAGTTGGTTTGTGTGCTACGTTAATGCTATGGAGTTGGTGATTTCTGGGATGTTTTTGATTTATAGCAGTGTTATCTTTTTTACAGCTTGTGTTGGCTGTAATATATTGGGTTGAATGTTCTGGCACTTTTTGATGAAGTTATATTTTGTTGGAAGATGTATAGATCATTTTGTTTTCTTTTTCTGATGTTCAGGGTGCTGCAGTGTGTTTGTGCTCAGCTACATAGTGTTCGTACACAGCTTCTCTTGTGGGAGGCTGCGTTATTACTTTGGTAGTGGATTGCTTAGTTCAGTGGTTCTCAACCTTTCTAATGCCGCGACCCCATAATACAGTTCCCCATGTTGTGGTGACCCCCAACCACTTATACATCACCGAGTGCCAGGGGCGTGGCCAAAGAAAAGGGGGAAAAAATGGCGGACAGCCTTGTTTGGCGACCCCCGTGAAATGGTCGTTCGACCCCAAATGGGGTCCCGACCCACAGGTTAAGAACCACTGGCTTAGTTGGTGTGGGTGGTTTTACTATAGACTTGTGTTTCTAGTTTGCCGTAACTGTCTCTGCTAATGAGGAAGGATAGCATGTTAATTGTTTTTTTTCTTCCCTTTCTCTTCCCATATATTTGTCATTTCTGCCTTTTGGTAATTGGTCTGCCTTCTAAATCTTAATTTTGGCTAATTACATATATTTGACTGGTTAAATACATTGAAATTATCCCTCAAGTAAATTTATATAGCTTCTGTATATAATATGTAGTATAGTTAATTTTTGGATAAAAGCTTGGATAGGGTGATTAAAATAAGCATCTCCCATATTAAAGATAGATTATACTTCTAAGAAGAAGATTGTTCTTTTTAGTTTCATGGGTGGCAAAAAAAAAATTCTTTTTCTAGTCATACATTCATCATTTTCTCAGACATGCTCCTGAAAGAGTATTTAAAATCCAGTGTAGGGTAGGGTAGTGTAATGTATTGTGATATATAGTGTTAAAAACAGGTCAATGTCTTCTTCTGACCACAGAGTTTACTTGGACAGTCACACATTCTGTGTTTTTGTAGTGAACAACAGCAATATCGAAAAGGGGAGGGGAGGGAACAGAGTGTGTGCAAAAAAACTATAATGTGAATTCTTGTAATTACGGGATTTGTGTTCTGTTTGTAATATTAGATAACAGTAATGAATATTCTATAATGGATTCCTGATTTATAATAAATATCTGAAGTGCAGTGCACTAGTAATCAAAACTAGGTGTTTTTCAGTTTGATTTGGCTTCTGTGTATTGCTACATTCAAGCATATTTCATTCAGGCATATTTTTTATGGGGTTCAGTGATTAAGTTTAATTACGGAATTTTGCCAATGATAGAGGGAGCCTAAGAATCCAACAGTTCCATCAGAATGTCAGCATAAGCATTGCAGCTTCATGGTGCAAGCTCTTGCCCTAACATATGTGTAACATTGTGATGCAAATAGAACATTTTGTTATTTATTTATTTATTAAATTGGTATGCTGCCCATCTTACTATCCAAGTAAATCTGGGGGCTTACAGTGTAAAAATGGCAGCGTTTTCATTGTGGTTTGTAGTATGCTGTCCGGACTGAGTTTATGACTGACTCTGTATGTATAAACTATTAGGGCGCATCCATTGAGATTTTTATTTTGTCTCCAGGTCCAGTGCTAAGTTGTGAAGCGGCCACGCAAACAGACCGAAAACCACAGCTGGCTACTGTCATTTTGCGAAAAACTCTGAGAGCAAAGGCTGTGCGCTCAAGGCCTCAGTCTTTAATAGACTACAAATCATATATAGATACTAAGCTTCTGGTAGCCAAATTCTTGGAGCAGTCATCCTGCAACATGACGCCTGACATACATGAACTAGTAGAAGACATCAAATCTGTCTTAAAATCAGATGAAGAACACATGGAGGAAGCCATCACCAGTGCAAGTTTCCTCGAGCAGGTAAGATACAACAGGTTGCAGCTCTGCTTGGGGAAGGAGAAGCCAGTTCAAAATGAGACTCAGCCTATGTTGCTGTCTGATGTTAGCTTTTTTCCCCTGGAAGAAGAGGTAATTTTTCATCCTAGCAAATATTCTGTTAGTTACAGGTTTGTTCTTTGATTATAGTTAATGATTCAATTTCTGTGATCCAGGTTAGTGAAGAAGGGCAGGAGATGGTGAACCTTTTGTCCTTATTTAATCTCTTTATCACTTTTGTATTGATTTTTTTTTCATTTTCTTTTCTTTCTCTCCAAATTAGTAGAAGAATGTAGTACCTATTTAAGGAATAAACGTGATCTTATCCTATATTTGCACTCTCCAGTTACGTTGCTGTTCTTAAAGGTGAAATAGGATTTTGTTTACTTAGTAAGTAGTAAGTTAAAGGGAGAGGCTGAAGATCTCCCCAGGTTTAAGTAGTCATGTGAAAGGTCAGGTCAGCCCTTTGTTATGCTGGATATGCTTGTCTGTAGAAGATGAATAAGGATAGAAGTCTCCAGATGATAAAGTAGATAAAATAGGGAGTTGCAGAATTAGTTCATCTCTCGTAGACTGACAATTCTGGAAATCGATATTTTTTTAAAAAATAAAAAAAAATATTTATGGAAAGAAAGTAAAGTGATGAAAATTATTGCTGATAGTAAAGCACAAGCATGAAGACTCCAAAACCCCCTTTGTGTCATGGCTTAATTCCCAATCAAAAGGAAAAACAAGCCAAAGGATATTAAAAACATGTCCTGATGGCTAAAAGATTCTACACCTGGGCGTTGAATGAAATAGCCAGGTATTATATGAGGTCAGTTTTTTTAATTTACTTTATTTATTCAATTTCTATAGCCACCTAGCTATAGAACTCTGGGTGACTCTGGATGTCTTACAGTTCTAAAACAATTAAAAAACAATAAAAGCATTTAAAAAATAAATACATACAGCAGCTGAAATAGTTAACCAACTAACAGTAAAGTCAATAAACGGAGCCCTTAACACATTTGGAGCTCCAGGCCCAAGTACACATCACGTTTTAAAAGCCTTACAAAGGGCGAATAGGGTTGGAGCCATTCTAATCTCCAATGGGAGGACGTTCCATAGAGCAGTGGCTACTGCAGGGGGGGAAAAAAAACTTCTTCTGATCTCCAGAAGCTGACACTCTTTGGCTGATGGGATCTGCAGCATGCCCAATCTGCTTTTTATATTTTGAAGGCGGCTAACATTTTCTTTATCCTCACATTTCTCAGCTAAAAATAGGTATGGCAGTTGACAGTGTAATGTTCTTCCTTTCCAAAGGTCATGACTCCTGCTCACCCATCCATAACAAGAGCACACACGCTGCCTTTCAGGAGGCACCCGGGACTTTTGCACTTGGAGAGCTGTGGAGATGTAAGTACTTTTACTGCAGCCGGAACCCGGGGGCCAAACAGGAGGACACAGCGGATGGAACCAGAGCGGCCTCACAGTCTCATTGGAGTCGTCCGAGAAACCGTACTCTGAGCTCAGTTGCGTTTTGGTCCCACGTGGAGTGCAAAGGCTGGAGCAGGAAAGCAGTTGAATGGCGGGATCCTTAATCTATATTTCTTACTTAACTGTACTGCTGCTTTTGAAAGAGCATTTGAGGGGAAAAAATTGAAGTAAATTACTTCAAAGAAAACAACGGTGCATTATAAATATAGCTCTGAATCATAAAAAAAGGATATTCAGGTGTAGTTAGGATATATGAGGAAGGAGGAGTCTTCTTCATAAAAACAAGTTGTTGTTTCTGCATAAACTTTGAATGTTGTCTCTGGTATGTGTGGGTTTTATTTTAATGTTTTATATCTGAAAGGGAATATAGGGTAGAGATATATCTACAGTATATGGAACTGAAGTATATGTATTTTCATTCGTCCTTTCCTTTTCGATAATGTTGCACTACACATTATTTATCACGATAATTTTTTATAAAAAAGCTTTTGAAATGACTTTGACCTGTGGGGTGCACAGAGCTATCCCTTTACAGTATTTCCATGTTACATGAACCTTCAGCAATCATTTTGTATCAGTTCAAGTGCAAAAGTGCTTAAAAGTAGCAGGTCATTCAGGTTTCTGTTCATAAACTACTCAACAATCTTGAAAAAATGGAATAATAAAATTCAGAGCAATGATATATTTTTCCCAGAGCAGCTTTATTACAAAAATGATGATGGGAGAATAAGGAATCTTATACCAAGGCAGAAGGCTGTACATGCTTTAAAAATGATTCAAAAGAGCTTCAGATTGGAAGAAAGTAAGAAAACAATAGGATGCTATTTATTTATGCAGCCTGAAAATGAAATGCCGTTGCTTTTAAAAGTTAACTCATAATCTATTAAAGAGGTGGCATCCTTTTGGGGGGATCATGTAGAAGCCTGAAAAAAAAATAAACTGCATTAATGAATATCCAGGAATGCTGGGCTTTGGAAAGACTGAAGCACGACTTAATCATTTTCAAAGTGCCCTGTACATGTTTTATGGGAATGATTTTTTTTCTGTTTAAAACATACAGATTATAAATGTATTTCTAGTGATTTCTTTTTTTCATAATTTGGCTTAAATCATTAGTAGGAATCCAGATGAGAAAAGAGAGGTTTTTCTCTCTCCCTAAATCTTTGCTGACTTGAAATACATTTCTGTACATTTCAAAACACTTGTGTGTAATGAATGAAACTGGTGATAGGAGCCATTGCTACCAATTTTCAGGTTTTTATTTTCAGCTTCCTGAAATGCTGGTAACCCAACTCTTCTTTTCCTCAAATTATTTGTCTTAATTCAGAAAATTAATAAGCTGTATTTAATTTTGATTAATACAAATGAAATAAAGCGTGTTTTGGTTTTCTTTTTCTTGACTTCATACATTAACTATTCCAATTTGTTTCCTAAGTTTCACTGATGGGCTAGAGCAGTGGTGTGGACTTATGGACTTTACTCCCAGGATTCCTCAGCCATGTTGGCTGGGGAATTCTGGGACTTGAAGTCCACAAGTCTTAAAGTTGCCAAGGTTGAACAATCCTGGGCTAAAGTCTGCATTAGTAGTTCAGACCTCTCGAGTTTATCTCATTGAATTTGATATCTCCATCAGAGACTTGATTCAATAAAATAATTACCTGTTTTCCAATTTGCTAACAGGAAAACCATGATTATAATTTTTTGGTGAGGGTTCAATGAAAAATAATGCCTTGATTTCCATGATTAAATAGGAACACTTTAATAAAGCAAACAGAAAAAAATAATCCTTGAAATTAGCTCTTTTGTTGCCAATATTTACTTCTGCTAATACATTCTGCCAATGATGGACAAGCTTTTTAAAATGTCACAAAATATCCATACTTTATCTCTTAAAGCAGGTCCTGATGGGCCTTTCCATCTATTTGAATCGAACGGATGCCCACAAAGTTATTCCTTCAATTTTGGCGAAAGATGGAATCACATGGTGCCATATCTGGATCTTTAAGAAGATGGAGGTAGTGCAATCCAACTTCACAATTGCGTCTTAGATGACTTGTGAAGTGATGCCATGTGTCATGTTTATTTATTAAATTTATTTGCCATTTTGCCACAAGGAGACACTAGGTGGCTTACAACACTAAAACACTAAAACCATAAAATATACATGTATATTTAAATACAATAAAAATGTGAGTTATGATTAAAAAATGGGAAGGCAAGGTGCAGCATGTATACGGGGGAAGTGGGATAAGCTATTTGTCCAACTCCAGTATGATAATCACCCATTGGGGCCTTACACCAACTGGCAGAGCCACGTCTTCAGGACAGTGAAAGCTGATCTCACCTCAGGATGATGGGGGCCAATCTCACCTCAGTAATATGTTCCAAAGGGCAGGAACCATGGCAAAGAAGGCTCTTCTGGATACAGAATTCCCTGACCAACAGGATCCGCCGCATGCCTCCTCTGCCAGCATGGGTGAGGCAGGCCAATCCCATTGGAATGGGACAGCTGCTCAAGTAGTCTGGACTCATGCCATGTAGGGCTTAAAGGTGATAACATCTTGAATTGCACCTGGAAGTAAACGAAGCTAGTACAGCTCTTGAAACAGCAGTGCAGTCACTGTCCTGGCATCTCTTAACCCTTTTCAGAACTTGCAACTCCTCCATGAACCATGAGGAGAGTCAGGAATGATGGGTCAAGAGAAGTCTCACAGGCATGATCCTATCCAAAACATTGTCATTCCAGGCCACTATCCAGGCTTTGGCAGGGCCGTGCTGCAAACTCTCCGGGATATCCCCAAGTTCCCTCTGGAAGCCATTCAGGTCCATCAGTTGCTGAGGTCAAATGGGTCCAGCCTCCCTGCGGAAGAGGGTGGCATAAGAGTCTCAAGGACACCAGAATGTGATTTGACCATGACAGAAACAATGTTAAATCTTCCACCAGTTCACACTGCCATTGTTCCAAAAAGAAAATCGCTTCTGTGTGTCACCACAGTCCCAAGTCACAACTATGATGATCTTTGAAAGGCCCATAGCCACCATGAACTTCTGGGCTGCTTCCAAGGTCACATACAGGGATGGCTGATTGAAGTCTCCTGGATCCATAAGCCTGGGGAACTCTGCCACCAGACCTCAGGTGGCCTCTTGCAACTCAGGCAGGGAGGTTCCCACACAGCAGAGAGTCTGATACTTTAGCAACAATCCCAACTGATCCTGTGAGAAATACGCTCTCACAACCAGAAATTTGGGGAGCAGGGTCCCTGAAGGCCAGGAGAGACTTTCTAAGACCATGTATTGTATCAAAAGTTCTTAACGCTTATAAACTTTACATAATTGTTTCAAAGTTTAGAGAGTTGTGAAATAAAGTTGACAGTGATGTGGATTGCAAAAAATCCTTATGAATATCCATCTGCTTTCCCCAAAAATTAGGATCATGAAATTTTCCTGCGAAAACATAGGTTTTAATTTGAGGATGGGGATGGTAAAAGCTTATGATGATATTCTGTGGCCTGATGCTTGGTTTCTAGGTCTATTTCTCTGGCTATTATGAAGTTGTGAAGAAATTCCTCACTTTCATTCTCACTCCTTGAAGTGCCTTTATAGCAGGGTTCCAGCTCACACACAATAGCAACACAAACCTTTGTCAAGTAACTTCCGGTCAAATAAAGTGAAAGAATGGATACTAAAAAACATGACAGAGCTTCTAGTGCATCAGAACTGCCAGCTTAAAATATTGGAGACGTCCCTTTTCACTCAACCCTATTTGTGAGCAGCATCAATTGAAAATACAGCCATATTTTAAAGGATGAAGCATGCTAGATTTCACAGAAATTGGTACAGGGAATTGTTTGATGATATTCCCCATTTTTTATGTCTTAAGATAGAATATGATAACATTTATAGATTTTTCTGATAAGAACATCATTGCTAAATTGCAGATCTCTCCAATAGCTGGAGGGTGGCATGGTGGCTCAGTGGTTTAGACAGTGGGCTCATCAGCTGGAAAGCCAGCAGCCCAGATTTGAGACCAAGCACCAAGTGATGGGGTGAGCTCCCATCCTCACCCCAGCTCCTGCCAGCCTAGCAGTTTTAGAGCATGCAAATACAAGTAGATAAATAGGTACACTACAGTGGGAAGATAACAACACTCTGTGATGTCATGTTGGCCACATGACTGGAAATGTCTTCAGACAGTGCTGGCTCAATGGCCTTGAAAAGGAGATGAGTACCGTGCCCTATAGTTGGCAATGACTAGTGGAGCAAAATTCACAGGGACTCCTTTATCGTACTTTACTAATAGTTGGAGAAACATATAGTATTGTTATAGTAAGCTGTTTGGAAGGGATATTGCCTATTCCTGAATGTAATTTTAGACCTGTTACAGAAGTGTATGGAATGTACTTCCCTGTCTTTTCCAGTCTTTACTTTATCGTGTGAGTGAGCTAGTGCAAACCAGACACATTATGCACAAAGTGGGGTTAACACTCTCCTTGACTCAAATTTCTGTTCTTATTGCGTCCACAGTGAGTCACCCTGTGGCCCTGTTCAGGAATCCCAACCCCTCCTAGGATAGGAAGGCTTGGGTGATTACTTTCAGGGCGGTGCAGAGGAATTTGTGGAACAACTGACAGTCAATCAGATCCATCCCCAATTGGAATCCATGTGTGATGCAGGTCCATTAGAGATGCCTGCGGAAAGCTCTTATTCAGCTATTTGGGAACAGTTTGATACTGATGGACCTGACAAAGGAGGCAGGGTCCTTGATGCCGTCAATGCAACCACCTGCCAATTAGATCCATGCCCTCTTGATTGATGAAACATTTTAGTATGGTGACTGCCAGATGGGTTCAGGCAGGGATGAATTCTTCACTGCAGGAAGGGCCATTCTGGGACTTTTCAAAGAATGCCTGGTCCATCGTCTTCTTTAAAAAAAAACAAAAAACTATTTCTTGATCCCACAGTTGCCATCCAGTCTGTCACCTTCCTTTTTTAGGGAAGGTGGCAAATAAGGTGGTTGTGTGGCAGCTTCAGAGGGTCCTGAAGCTGTCACACAACCACCCATCTGAACCCCTTCCAGTCAGGTTTTGTTGGGTCCAGTTATGGGACAGAAACAGCATTGATGATCTCTGGCAAAAACATGATGAGTGTAGAGTAGCCATCCTTGCTCTTCTTGACTTTTCAGCAGCCTTGAATATCGACTATAGCAGGGGTAGGCAACCTTGGCTCTTTTATGACTCATGTACTTCAACTCCCCAAATTCCTGAGCCAGACATACTGGCTCAGGAATTCTGGGAGTTAAAGTCCACGAGTCATAAAAGAGCCAAGGTTGCCTACCCTGGACTATAGTATCCTTTTGGAGCAGATGCAGGTTCTGGGGCTGGGTGACCCAGTCTTGCATTGGGTTGGCTCCTTTCTCCAAGGCCAACCCTCATTTCCTGTTGATAAGAAGAGCTCCAGTCCACAGTCACTCCTTTGTGGAGCGCCACAGGATTCAACACAGACCCGCTGTACAACCTGGGGGTTCTCCTGAACTTTCGACTCCTGCTCAAAGAGCAGGTGGTAGTTGTGGCTAGGAGACAACTTTCTGTTGTGTCCAGTTGTGTCCTTTCCTGGATTGAGTCCTGTGCTCAGTCACTCAGGCTGTCACCTCATATCTGGATTACTGCAATGTGCTACATAGGGCTACCCTTGAAGAGTATTTGGAAACTACAGCTGGCCCGTGTAACATTGCTGTAATACTGGTTGCTAGTTTGCTTCCCAGTTCAATTCACGGCATTGATTAGCACAGTGGCTCCCAACCTTTTCTATACCCCGCACCCCTAGAATGCTTCTGATATAGCGTCGCACCCCTTTACAAAAGTTTGAAATAACGACAATGAATTATGCACATACACTATAAATTTTGAAAACCCAAGTTTTTGCACCCCCTGGAATATCGTCTCTCACCCCCAGATGGGAAACATGGATTAGCACCTTTATAGTTTTTTATGGCATGAGACATAGTTTGGGGTTGGCCATCTGCATTGGCAGAAGGGGCAAACTGAAGACTCCATTGGTCAAGGATTTGGCAAGGTCCAAAAGTGCCTTTTCTGTAGTGGCTCCCACAACACTGTGCTCTCTTGAGGTGAGATTTGCACCTACCCTTTTGGCTTTCAGACAGGGCTTGAAAACCTGGCTCTGCTAATTGACCTGGGGCCCTGAGGGAGGGGAGGCGTGTTATACAGCAGGTGGCTAATGGACTAAGACTCACCTCCATCCCATGTGCATTTTGCTCCATTCCTTGCCATCTTTGTTAATTTTAAGTAAACTTTAATGTTAATATTTATTTTTTTATATTCAATGTTTTATCTAGATTTACTGGTAAGCTGCCTAGAGTTGCCTCTTGGCGAG